GGGAGAGGGAGAAGCAGGCCTCCCACCGAGCAGGGAGCCCGATGAGGGGCTCGATCCCAGGACCCTGGGATCATGACCTGAACCGAAGGCAGACACCCAACGACTGAGCCACCCAGGCGCCCCCTAAATAAAATCTTAAAAAAAAAAAAAATTCAAGTTGTGCAACCAATGCAGCCGCACAGGGCCTAACACTCAGGAGCATCCCACACCTGGGGTTTAATACCCTGAATTTGCTGTTTCGGTTAGCGATAATGGTATCTTTTGAATCTGTGTTCTGTAAGTGAAGTACAATGGGAATAATAGGGCATGTGCCTGGGGCTTGAAGCCTCAGCTCACAGTCGGTCCACTTCATGCTGCTTCCTCACTTTCTAGGGATGGGTTTGGAGAGTGGCTGGTTCTGCAGTTTGCTGCCGTGCATTCTGCAAGCAGCTTGATGCCCACCCCCATCCAGGACCCAGGTACATAACACATCCCAGGGGACTGCCCATTCTCTGTGGGTTAGGCCAGGAATACAGTGTAAGGAGATGGCCAGATTGACAGCGCCTCCCTCACCACCACCCCCAGGGTGGGGGGGCATAACACGTTGGTCCAGAACCTCACAGTAGGGGCAACCCAAGAGATGGCTGGGCCTCGTGTGTTCCAGTACATGCATCAAGTCACAAGGCAGGTCCCTGGGCACCTGTGAGGGGCTGCACATCCCTAGCGAATGTCCTTGCCTAAGGGAGCATGACATTAAATAGCAAATGAAAAAACACCATAAAATGTCAAGAGATAGATTACTGAAGAAAGGAAACAGCTTAATATTTTATACCTTTATCCTGCTATTTGAAAAAGGGGGTCCCACTTTCATTTTACACTGCGTCCTGAAAATTATTTGTGCAGATAGTCCTATCCATAGGCTCTAATTTCTCTTTTCCTTTCAATTCACATATTGTTGAAGAAGTTAAGTCATCCTGCAAATGCCAGTTGCATCCCTGTGGAATTGTTTCACATGTTTCTGTCCCCTATATATCATATAATTGGTAGTTAGATATATGAAGACTTGATTAGATTTAGATTTTAAAGTATACTTCATAATTATTAATTTTAATAATTCTTCATAATTTTATTTTTTTAAGTAATCTCTACACCCAATGTGGGGCTCGAACTCATGACCCCAAGATCAAGAGTCACATGTTCTATCAACTGAACCAGCTAGGTATCCCATTAATGCTTCATAATTTTAAAGAAAGCTTCATAGTTTTTAATGCCATATAGTTTTTAAACCTAGTCATTTTCTAATCTAGTTACTAGGCATTCCTTTCAAAGCCTTCCCTGAAGTCAATGCCTGAAAGTCTTCAGATTAACCAGCCTTCCAGGAACTATGGTGGTAGATTCTAAAAAGGCACATCCCTCCCACACCTGAGAAGAGAATGCTATGGGGAGAAACACTAAAAAGGGGGCTGAGTGATTCCAAAGGCATTCATGTTTACAGTCCTGTCATTGTCTTACTGGAACTTTATGTGGCTTTTAGCACTGTCAAAACTCTTCCATAGGCTTCTCTGAAGTAACTATCATGGACTCTATTTCCTTTGACCTCATCTGCTCAGCCTTCTTCGGATGATTTTCCCTCCATTCCCTTGTCCCTTAAATACTGGTATTTCTGGATTCTTTTTTGCTGATTCACTCTAGTCACTCTTTCTGGGGGTGGTAGACACAGAGATGCAATATCCAGATCCCTCTTCAAGCAAGAGCTTGCTGCCAAACAGTGGACATTGATCATTGTCACTGGCATCCCCACCTATCAGTAGGATCTGGCTCAGCTACTGAGAACCACCTTACTTGGGTCATGATCTCTCTGGGGCAACACACATCTGGTGATAAGGTGGTAGTATAAATGGGTTGATTATTTGGCCAAACATGGAATACTCTGACAGGCAATAATTGTTCCAGAGCTCCTGCTGGGGATAACAGGTTTAGTCGGGCCAGTAATTTATTTAACTTCTGCCTCATATTGCTTTCTCCCCTCTCCTTTCACAGGACTTGATCCCTAATAAACATCTTTTTTTTTTTAAAGATTTTATTTATTTATTTGAGAGAGAGAATGAGAGAGAGCACATGAGAGGGGGGAGGGTCAGAGGGAGAAGCAGACTCCCTGCTCAGCAGGGAGCCTGATGTGGGACTCGATCCCGGGACTCCAGGATCATGACCTGAGCCGAAGGCAGTCGCTTAACCAACTGAGCCACCCAGGCGCCCCCTAATAAACATCTTGCATCCTAAACCCAGTCTCAGGAAATGCTTCCAAAGAAGTCAGCCTGTAACACTAGGTGATATCATCACACATATTCTATCACCTATATGTCCATTACTCTTAAAATATATCCTATTCCAAACACTCCTTTGAACTTGTTTAACTTCCTAAAACACACCACCACCTTAATGTACTATAGGCATCTGGAGCCCTGACTTTGCAAAATTGGCCCTTTCCCCCACAAACATGCTCCTTTCTCTTATCTGTCTTTTTGACAAATGATATCATTATTCACTAAGTTCTCATCTTCACAATTTCCTTACCTCCTCTATTAACTATCCATTGCTACGTCAACAAAGTATTCCTAAACATAGTAGTTTAAAACAACAAACATTTGTGACCGCATAGTTTCTATGGGATAGGAATTCAAGAGGGTTTATCTGAGTGGAAACAGAAGAGCAAGAAACATGTTCTGCCACTGAGCTTCCAGAGTCTAGAGCAAGGATTTGTTGATTTCAGCCCAATGTTATTCATTTTAGACTTCTGGCCTGCAGAACCAAAAGAATGTATTTCTGAACTTTTAAGCTACCAAGTGTGTAGTAATTTGTTACAGCAACCACAGAAAACTAATACAGCAAGTAAGTATATGTAAAAGATGAAGAAGCAATGAACAGAAGAATGCTCTGTTCTCAGGAGCTACAGGAGGCCGAGAAGAAGGCCAACTTTGGTTCGGTATTGCTCCGTAAGAAAATAAATGAGAAGGAAGGACAGCTGAGCCTTTTTCCTATAAAAAATAATGTAATGGGGTGCCTGGGTGGCTCAACTGCTTAAGTGTCCAACTCCTGGTCTCAGCTCAGGTCTTGAGCTCAGGGTTGTAAGTTCAAGCCCTGTGTTAGACTCCAAATAAAAAAATAAAAGAGAATGTAAGGATAAAGTCACCAAAAATTTATGGATGGTGTTGGAAGCTGTGTCTTATGACACTATATAAAATACTTTTAGGGTCTTCTGTATACCTTCTTCTTATTCTAAGAGTATTTGAGCACAATTTAAGGTGTGATACACACAATGTGTTACAAAGAACCCTGAGAGGCCAGCTCAAGAACGCCCTCTAAGAAAGAGTAAAAGAGCTAAATCTCTAAGATCTGGTTTTCTGCTTTTCCTCCACAGAGCTACTCAGGCCAAACTTAATTTTGAAGACCAATAAAATAAAATCTTCCTAAAATGCTTGGGAAGGTACTATAAATTCTGGGGTTCTGTGTACCAAATTCCTGCTTATAAATCTTCGCTCCATCCTCTACTCATATCCAGCTGTGTCTTGGAGCCTGTGGAAGCCAGGTGGTTTTCTTCTCTTTCTTTTTCTTTCTTTCTTTTTTTCTTTAATGATCAAACATTAATCAGCAGTGATTTAAAACCAAGAGAACTATACAGAGTGTCAGAGTTGACTAAGTTCACCAAGCCATGGAAGCCTGAGGCATCCATTTGCCTATAGTCTATTTAGACAATGTCTTCCAAGTATACCAGGTATTCTGAAAAGCTGGTCAGAGTTGGTCAGACTGTCAAATTCCTCCTCCTTGCTTTTCAATTCCATGCTGATCTCTATCAATTCTTTTTTTTTAATTTATTTTATTTTTCACCCGAGGTGGAGTTCAAACTCACAATCCCAAGATCAAGAGTAGCATGCTCCACTGACTGAGCCAGCCAGGCGCCCATTAACTCATTCTTGAGACTGGTTCCAACATAACTGTACAGCTTTCTTAGCATCACTCAGCCACGTTATCAGACTTTACAAATCTTTTCAACTACCTACTAAAAGATCTTTTTTAACGATTTTTTTTTTTAGATTTTTTGTTTATTTTTTAACAGCGAGAGAGGGAACAGAAGCAGGGAGAATGGGAGAGGGAGAAGCAGGCTTCCCGCCAAGCAGGGAGCCCGCTGTGGGACTCGATCCCAGAACCCTGGGATCATGACCTGAGCCGAAGGCAGACGCTTAACGACTGAGCCACCCAGGCGCCCTTAACGGTTTTTTTTTTTTTTTTTTTTTAATGTATTTATTTGACAGCGCGCACAAGTAGGGAGCAGCAGGCAGAGGCAGAGGGAGAAGCAGGCTCCCCACCCAGCAGGGAGCCCCATGCGGGACTCGATTGTGATTGCAGGATCATGACCTGAGCCGAAGGCAGAGCTTTAACGACTGAGCCACCAGGCGCCCTAAGTGAGCAGTTTTTATAGGCAGCATTAATCAATCATTACATTTTGTTTCCTAGTCAAATACGCCAACACACAATTCAAGGATTATCTCTTGCCACTTCCCAACATATGCTAGTTTCTAGCGTTACATAAGGGCTCAAGCGATTGAAGCATTGGCTCTCCCAGTGGGCTTGGCCAGAGCTCCCTTTCCCAAACCCACAGACAAAAGCTTTGCCCTTCTCTGTGCAACCACCCGCCCCTGGCTGCAATAAGCTAGAAGTTGAAACCTAGCTCTTCCCAGACAGGCAGTTGCCATTTTGCAGTGCTTCAGCGGTTACTTAATAGGGATTTTGTAAACTGAATAATGTATGTAAATGATTTAGCGTAATTTCTGGCACAGAAAGAGAACTCAATGAACGTTAATCATAATTAATGTAAGGCACCGTCATGGACAATTCGATTAGCAAGGCGTGGGAGACAGTTCAGATGTCATTACTATTTTCCAAAGATGAAACGATTAAAATTTAATTTTGCTGGTTGAGGAAATGGGCCAACACAGAAAGCAAAATGTGACTTTAAGTTTTACCTGTGGGTATTGTCTGTAGGTCACTAAACTACATAGAGTTCACATTCTGTGCAGCAGGACGATGGCTCTAGGACACTTGACCGCGGGAGCAAGAAGGACTCAGAAAACAACCATTCGCCTGCCTAAACTACAGTCAACTTTTCTCTCGCTCCCAGAACTGGCTCCTCCTCCAGAGGAAGGAGGCCGCCGTGATAGACGTCATCACCGAGCGCCGGGGTTAGAGAGGGGAATTGGGGGAGGAGATTGCCCTACTGCCTTATAAGGCTTCTTCCCATGATCCTCTCTTTCTCTTCACCATCTTTCCTTCTTCTCGGCTGCCGGCGCTATGAAGTGAGCAAGAGCCCTAGTCCCCAATCCGCTTCCATCTTCGGGCACAGCACCTCGCCCGCGGCCTGGGCTTGGCTTCTCCTTGCCGCAGACACCCTCCCTAATGGGCTTTCGCTTTTTGTTACAGGGTCGAGCTGTGCAGTTTCAGTGGGTACAAGATTTACCCCGGACATGGCAGGCGCTACGCCAGGACCGACGGGAAGGTGAAAGGCCGCGTCGCCCAAGCTCAGCTTGTGCTCTTTAGAGGAGAGACCGGTCTAATTCGGGCTAAGCGTGTTCCTTTACCGCATCGTTCTTGGTCCCTGCAAGGCTTGTTTCGGGGACCGTGTGTGCAATGGCTGTTAGGATCAGAAGCCTCTAAGTGAACCGCTCTTGAGGTTTGGTCTAGTGTGAGTCAGGTCGGAGATGAGAAGTTTGGGTAACTCAGATGTCCCGAGAAATGGACCACCGAAGTATGTGGCCGTTTTATGGGCACTAGATCCTCTTACTGCCGGTAGGGACCGGAGCTAGATGCCTCCTGGAATGTGATACCCCGCCCTTTCCTGCGCTGCGAGCTGAGGTTTCCCTGCTTTCTCTGTAAGACAGGACAAACCTCAGAGGCCTTGGTGGTGCCACCCAGTTCGCTGCCAGTTGTGTGACACGAGCCTGTTGGTCTCTGGACCCAGTGAGGGGAGAGAACTAGAGTACTAAGAGATCCAGCTCAGCCTCCTGCGTTGAGTAGGTGACTACTTTGAACTCGCTTCTGCAGGTTTTCCAGTTTCTTAACGCAAAATGCGAATCCGCATTCCTTTCCAAGAGGAATCCTCGGCAGATAAACTGGACTGTCCTCTACAGAAGAAAGCACAAAAAGGGACAGTCGGTAAGTAAAATGCAGTTTGATCCTGTGGGGCTCTTAAGTTTAAACTGATTATCAGTTGCTGCTCTGTAAAATTGTAAATGAGACAGTCTGTGTGAGCGCTCTTAAGCTGTAAAGCATCAAACAGTGAAGTGAAAATGACTGATAAGTCTCCTTGTACATCTTAGGCTCGGCTCTCAGGAATGTCGGGTTGAACTTTGAAAGCATCCCCTTGCCAGAGTTCGATAAATTATACTATGCACACTTGAGTTATAAGGCACTGTGGAATTAAGGGGTTCCGGTGGGTAGAAATTAATAGCATGGTAACTTGGTTTTGAGTGTGTTTATAGGATTAGTCCTAAGGGATATCAGTGGAATCTTACAGCATACTAGTTCTCAAGACTGAATGTTTTTTGAAGCGCTCTTCAGCTTGATGGAGATTTTTTTTTTTTTTTAAAGATTTTATTTATTTGAGAGAGAATGAGAGAGAGCACATGAGAGCGGGGAGGGTCAGAGGGAGAAGTAGACTCCCTGCCGAGCAGGGAGCCCGATGCGGGACTCGATCCCGGGACTCCAGGATCATGACCTGAGCCGAAGGCAGTCGCTTAACCAACTGAGCCACCCAGGCGCCCTTGATGGAGATTTTTGAGGAAAGGTTTTAGTGCCATGGCAGTAGGATTCGTATTCAGGAGGCTTGGAATATTTTAGTGAACACCTGGGTGAAGGACATCACTAGGTGTTGTGAGAGTTCAGAGGAAGGGAACATTTATTTCTGACTTAAAAGTAGATTTGACACACCCATTAGGATAGTCCTTATCCAAAAACAGGGTGGGGGGATTACCAGTGTTAACGAGGATGTGGAGAAATTAGAACCTTTGTGCATTGCTGAATGTGAGATGCTACAAGCACTGTGGAAATGGTTTCACAGTTCTCAAAAAGTTAAATGCAACTATATCCAGCAACTCCACTTCTAGGAATATACCCAAGAAAACTGTAAACAGGAACTTAACACAGATAATTTCTATGCTAATGTTCATAGCACTGTTACTCACAATAGCCAAAAGATGGAAATGGCCCATAGGTGGGTGAGTAGATAACAAAATGTTATATACATACGATGGAATATTACTCAGCTTTAAAAAGCTGGTAACTAGCCAATATGGATGAACCTTGAAGACATTATGCTAAGTGAAATAAGCCAGACACAGAAGTACAAATATTACATGATTCCATCTTTATGGGGTACCTATAGTGGCAAATTCATAAAGACAAAGTAGAGGTTATCAGAGGCTGGGCAGGGGAAGGGAGGAATGGTGGGGGTTTTTATTTAATGGATGTGGAGTTCAGAATGTTGAAAAAGTTAAAGATGGATAGTGGTGGTAGTTGCACACAACACTGTGAATGTACTTAATGCCACTGAGTTATACACTTAATAAATGCTTTAAGATGGCTAATGTTACGTATCTTTTATTAGCAAAAGTTTGAATTGTACTGTCTTGATCCTGGACATTCCCTACTACTTAGTAGCTTTCCTGTCATAAATCATTTTCCAATTGACTATTTCTTCCATTGACAGTACTTTAGGTAAAAATAAAATAGGTGAGTTGAGATTTGATAATTTTTTTTCCAGAAGTAAATTGTTTACTATAAAGTCTTACTGAAATCACTTCTGAAGTGGGGCGCCTAGGTGGCTCAGTGGGTTAAGCGTCTACCTCCTGGTTCCCGCTCAGGTCATGGTCTCATGGTTGTGGAATTGAGCCCTACTGGGCTCCGAGCACAGACCCTGCTTCGGATTCTCCCTCCCTCCCCCTCTGCCACACACGTGCCCCCTCCCCTTTCTCTCAAATTTTTTTTAAATCACTTTTGAAGTACCATCTTCAAAGAGTTTGACTTTTGTCTTTTTAAAGTAGTAAAAAATGGCCAGGATTTGTGAGAGAATTTAACCAATCTATAATTGGAAAATTACTGCCTATTGCAGTATTTTACATATATTCTTTATATCTTTTCAAATGATTGCATGAATTATTTTTGTTGAATATTGCTATGATCTGAATGTATACCCCTAAAATTGAGATGGTGAAATCTAACCCCCAAAGTGATGATATTAAGAGGTGTGACCTTTGGGAGGCTCTGCCCTCAGGAATGGGAATAGTGTCCTTATTAAAAAAATGCTGTTTATCAGGTGCTTGGTCTGGTATTTGTTGTAGCAGCCTAAGTGCACCAAAACAAATAAATAAAATCTTAAGATTGTGTTTCCCATGTTCATGAAGCAAGGCTTATAAGTACACTCCCATCTTTTTGTTTTGTAGGAAGAAATTCAAAAGAAAAGAACCCGCCGTGCAGTTAAATTCCAGAGGGCCATCACTGGTGCATCTCTTGCTGATATAATGGCCAAGAGGAATCAGAAACCTGAAGTTAGGAAGGCACAACGAGAACAGGCCATCAGGTGAGGAAGCCTTCATTATGAGCATTTCAGCTGTTGGGATGGATTATGTTGTTTGCATATATAGGCATAGGAATCTAATTTGATGTTATTTTGTGTTTTGATACTTGAGTCTATAAAGAAATTGCCAGTCATAAATACTGCAGAAGTTTATAATATATTATATACTTAATGATTTGTTGAAATTCTGTATGCAGTTAAAGCTACAATTTCTAATCTATGTTAAGCTGACTTGGTGGTTAATGACATTTATTGACAAACCCTTTGGATTTATACAAATAATTGCAATGGGGAAGGAATAGATAATTCTTTCCCAAAACACTAGCTCCTTGTTACGAAACTGCGCTCTTAAGGAGTAAAACACTTTACCTTAAGTTATTTTTAACTCCCCAGGGCTGCAAAGGAAGCAAAAAAGGCTAAGCAAGCATCTAAAAAGACAGCCATGGCTGCTGCTAAGGTAATTGTAAGATTGTCTTGGATTTCTTATTTAAAATAACAGGAGGGGCCCTGGCTGGCTTACTCGTTAGAGCATGTGACTCTGGATCTTGGGATTGTGAGCTCAAGCTCAAGTTGGGTATAGAGATTATTTAAAAATAGATTAATAAAAGGAAAATTTATTTTTAATCCAAATGGTTAATTTGGTTAATGAAAGTTTCAAGTTTTTAAGAAATTTAGTGCAAGGCTCCAATGAAAATGATGTTCATAACTGGTTTCTGGGTGTGTGATTTCAGAGGTCCCTCTGCCAGACAAAAATTGGGAAAGGAGAAAATAAAGGTGGCTTTTGTTTTTAAAGTTTATTTTGAAAAGTTTTCCATAATAGTACAGAGTTTGCCCAGCTTTTCTCAGTGTTACCAGTTTAGATAACCATAGTAAAATTTCAAAGCCATTGATCTCAGGTGACTAATAATGTCCTTTTTCTGTTCTAAGGATACAATTCAGGATCCCACACTGCATTTAGTTGTGTCTCCTCACTTAACCCCTCCATTCTATGACAGTATCTTTGTCTTTCATTTACATATATAGAAGTGGACTTTAAACTTCTCGGGGAGGGTAACTTCTAAGAAAAATATTAGGAATGTAGTTAAATAATGGAAAACCTAGAATACACAGAGAATCTGGACATGAGAAAGGTGATTTATTTATTTTTTTAAAAGATTTTTATTTATTTATTTGAGAGAGAGAGAATGAGAGAGAGCACATGAGAGGGGGGAGGGTCAGAGGGAGAAGCAGACTCCCTGCCGAGCAGGGAGCCCGATGCGGGACTCGATCCAGGGACTCCAGGATCATGACCTGAGCCGAAGGCAGTCGCTTAACCAACTGAGCCACCCACGCGCCCGAAAGAGGTGATTTAAAAAGTTGCATGGAATAATGCCACATAACATGTTATCTTTTTATAGGCTCCCACGAAGGCAGCACCTAAGCAAAAGATTGTGAAGCCTGTGAAGGTTTCTGCACCCCGAGTTGGCGGAAAACGCTAAGTTGGTGGACCAGATTTTTAAATAAATATCTGACTATAACTAGATTGTGGTGGTGGTTTTTATTCTCAAAACACAACATTGGGCCTACATGTAATAGCTGAACTAAATCTTTTTAATGAATTATTTTCTTGGTGAGTTACCCTTTTCCGTGGTAGACACATTTTGTATTGGGCTTGCCTTTTGTTCACTGGTACTTCACCTCTTACCATTAGTTGATAGCTGAGTTAAAAGTGCTTAAAACTTCAACTGTACTATTAATCTCTTCTTGCTTACAGAAAATAAGCTTAAATGAAGAGTACAACTTCATTAGCACTTGAGTAGAATATTTGCTTACAAATTTCCAAGATAGTTTGTTGAGCTGAAAATTAGAACTATAGTTAAAATTGCAAAAAAACAGTAGCCTGATGTTCAAGAAATACTTGTGTGTAAAATGTGATAAGGAAGAGTAATAATTTATGCCAAGAATAGGCTTGCACTGGGGTGCCTGCATGGCTCAGTCAGTTAAGCAGTTAAGTGTCTGCCTTTGGCTCAGGTCAAGGGATTGAGCCCTGCACTGGGCTCCCTGCTCAGCAGGGAGCCTGCTTCTGCCCCTACCCCCCCATGTCCCCGCTTGCTGTGCTTGTGCTCTCTCTCGAATAAATACATAGACAATTTTTTAAAGATTCTATTTATTTATTCGAGAGAGAGCACATGAGAGGGGGGAGGGTCAGAGGGAGAAGCAGACTTCCTGCTGAGCAGGGAGCCCAATGCAGGACTCGATCCTGGGACTCCAGGATCATGACCTGAGCCGAAGGCAGTCGCTTAACTGAGCCACCCAGGCGCCCAGTACATAGAAAATTAAAAAAAAAAAAAAGACTAGGCTTGCACTTCGTTGAAAGTAGATCATCTTGTGTACCACGCTGCCAAGTTGGAAGACAACAGTGAACAAGCCACATCCTCGTTTGAGAAACATTTTTACACATAGAATACTTAGGTGAAGGTAAAAATCACATATCCCGCCCCCTCCACACACACACCTACATTCCATCCAAGGTGATGGAACTAATTATTGTTCTGTCTAGGTGATGTTAAATTCAGGCATTGTACTAGGTGTTGGGAATAAATAGAATAGTCCTTTTGGGGGACTTGAAAACTAAAAATATTTGTAAAATCAGTTTTAAAAATATGCAAGATATATTGGCTCTTGCTTAGAAACTAAGATCTTTTGTGGTAGTGGTTTTTTTTGTTTGTTTTTTTTAAAGATTTTATTTATTTATTTGAGACAGAATGAGAGAGAGCACATGAGAGGGGGGAGGGTCAGAGGGAGAAGCAGACTCCCTGCCGAGCAGAGAGCCCAATGCGGGACTCCATCCCGGGACTCCAGGATCATGACCTGAGCCGAAGGCAGTTGCTTAACCAACTGAGCCACCCAGGCACCCATGTGGTAGTGTTTTATGAAATTATAGGAAAAAAAACCATTAGCTATGAACGAGGAAAGCTTAACCAATCAAAATACCCAACTTGAATTAGCTATAGATTTCTTGAGGGTATAGCTCAGTGGTAGAGCATTTGACTGCAGAGCTATAGATTTCTAAATTTTGGACACAAAATCTTATTTAAGTAAGTGCTTTTCTGATTAACACATCTTAAAAATGAAACTGCCAATTCTGATTACCTTTGATTACTGGGTAGCCTGCTGTCCAGCAGGAGCTAGTAAAACCCTAAATACCTGGTTCTGGGAGGATGGCAACTCTTAGCTTTTAGACCAATTAGCCACCTGTAAAACCTTTTTCTTTGTATTGGCCCAAAGGCACAGAGGTGAATCCAAGTATGGTGGGCTTCTCAGCGCTTTCACAGGGATTTTTTGGCAGAAACTGAATTGGGTGTAGGATTTATTTTTAAGTTTTTCTTCACTTCCACGACTTGTTAAATTTTTATTTAAATCTATTTTTTTAGTCGATTTCACAGCTGAAGAGCGATGGTGCTGACCCAGCACACAGTTCTTGAGTTGATTTGGATAGCTGCTTTGGGTGCCCCACCCCAAGGAGGGGAGGGGCGCGGCGCATTTCCACCTTCTAATTCCTCCTCCCTTCCCCTCTGTCTCAGTCTATGGATTGAGTGACCCTAAGTAAATCCCAGGTCTATTGGTTCTGTCTTTCCTCTGCGTCTGGGAGCTCACGTACCTACAGCCAGAGTCATTCAAGGATGCTGCCTCAAGTATCTAGACCATCTGTTAATTTCTGCAACCCCCCACCCACAAGTACCACAGAGACCGGGTGCCATCCTATTTTTTGAGGCCAGTGCATTCACCTGTTGTCTGCCCCTAACCTGTCTCCACAAGGTCAAAGAGCCTCACCCAAAGACTGCAGACTCCAAGTGGGGAGGAGGGGTTGGCCCGGAGTTCTCAGGCGCCAGCAAAGCACTGTCAGTGCCTGACCCGTTGTCAAGTAGGATGTCATAGGCCTGTGGTCTTGTCTGCGCTGCAGATTAAACCCACGTTAGGGTGACAGAGGTCACCATTCTGGGCTACCCGCTAAAAATGTGAAATAGAACCCACAGTGCACACTGGAAAATGCAGTTCAAGTCGCCTCAGCCTTTTGTGCATTCAGTAAATATTGGGTGTAAAATGGAGAATTCCCCCCGATTTATGTAAAAATATGTGCAAATTAGGCTGTAAGAGTGCTAAATACTCCTCCCCACTCATTGCCAACATCGTTACCTTCATATATAGAAAACTGCCCCTATGTACTACGATCATTCCAGAAAAATCCCGACTATTCCATGCGTGATTTGGAGCCAATAGTTTTAAGTTTAGAAATTACAGTAAGTCCTAACATTGAAGGACTTGGATTTTATTTATTTTTTCATTTTTATTTTTTTAAAGGTTTTATTTATTTGACAGAGCGAGACAGCGAGAGCAGGAACACAAGCAGGGGGAGTGGGAGAGGGAGAAGCAGGCTTCCCGCTGAGCAGGGAGCCCGATGCGGGGCTCGATCCCAGGACCCTGGGATCATGACCTGAGCCGAAGGCAGGCGCTTAACGACTGAGCCACCCAGGCGCCCGAAGGACTTGGATTTTAAACGTTTAACTGGAAATTACATTTACATGTGAATGGGGCTGTTTTGGTCTTGTGTCCATAGGCTTACATTTTACTAAGAGTCTCAAAATCTGATGCTTTTATGTTGTCGGGGGAATCTCAGAAGGTAGGCGGAGGTAAAAACAGACTCCTCTACATTTTGGCGTACCTCGGGCAAGATAACAGCCCACCAAGTCCTACACGTGCTCAGAGCTTGAGAAAGGGGAAAAATAAAAAGGGAAACTGCCAGGACTTAAGATGTCCGCTCGAAGCGACTTCAGTCTCCCAAGAAGGGCCTACCCGCTTCCAATATGTCCGCCCGTAGTCCTGACGTCACTCGGTCGGCTTCATCAAGCCAGAAAGCCGGTGCGTTCCAATCAGAACTCAGTCCCCTCACCCACTGCCCTTGATCACGTCACTTCCGGTGGTGCAGCAGCCATTTTGTCAGTCGCCAGTGGATCCCGCGCGCTGGAGAAGTGCAGTTCCCCCTGGTTACCAATTCGTCCGTTCTCCCTTCGCGCTGCGGGCGCCGTCGAAGAGCACTCACCTCTGATACACCGGTTCCTCCCTATAGTCCCGCCGCCGTTGTTGCATCCGCCCGGAGCCAGTGCGTTGTCTTCCTCCCCCACCACTGACAGGCGCCCTCAGGGAGCCGCCGTCAGCGATGTCAAGCGAGGAAAGCTACCGGGCCATTCTTCGATACCTGACAAATGAGCGTGAACCGTATGCGCCGGGCACCGAGGGCAATGTCAAGCGTAAAATCCGCAAGGCGGCCGCCTGCTATGTGGTGCGCGGTGGGACTTTGTACTACCAGCGGCGGCAGCGGCACCGCAAGACCTTCGCGGAGCTGGAGGTGGTGCTGCAGCCGGAGCGGCGCCGGGGGCTCATCGAGGCGGCGCACCTGGGCCCGGGTGGCACTCACCACACCCGGCATCAGACCTGGCACGACTTGTCCAAGACTTACTGGTGGCGAGGTAGGACCTCGCCCGTGGCGAGGGGGCGGGCAGCGACTTGTTGCCCAGGCAAGGCCCGCTGGCGGAGGCGGGCCTGTTTGTGCACGAGCGAGTTTGGGGGTCCCAGACGCCCCTCGCCGGCCCAACCTGCGCTCGGCGGCGGAGCGGCTGCCAGGCGGAGCCGAGAGGGTGGGGGACGCGAAAGGAGCCGCACTTCCCACAGGAAGGAGGCCGGGGAAGCTGGGGGCGGGCCCTGGCCCGGGGTGGGGCGAAGGGGGCTTCCCCGGGGGCCGGGCCAGCCGCCGGGAGGGGCTTGGACGTGCGGGCTACGGCGGCCCCGCCTCCATCGGCTGCGCTGGAGGCGGCGCCTCCTGTCCGGGGACGCTCCTGGGCGGCGCGGGGCGGCGGTTGCGCGGAGCTACGTGTTGTGCCTCCTAAAATCCTGTTGTGCTGATGGTGTGGGGGAGGGACGGTCCGCCCCAAGCCTGGGTTGCTTCCTCAGGCCGTTTCCGCTAGGGTTTGGGCCTGCGGTTTTGAGGTTCGCTAGATCTGCTTGCACGTATTCCTCAAACTGCGCTACGGCGGCGTAAATAAGCAATAAGGCAAGAGGTGATTTGAAGTGACTGTCTGGAAACGGCCATCTTCAACTTCGATTATGGGGCAAGAATTCAATGTGAAGAATAGCAGATAACCCTTCGTTCTGAATGTTTTCATGTTCTTTCCTCTGATACCGTGAAAAGCTCTTTGGAAACTGTGAGGCACTGTGTCTACCCGGAAAAGATACGGTTACTGTGGTTGTAATAGTCAGGAAATAACTGCTCTAAAGTTTTTTGACTCCTTGGGAACCAGATTAGGGAAGGAGAGCAAGGGTCTTTGGCACCTTTACCGCTCTCACTGTCCACAAAGTTGATTTACATTGAACCTGTTCGGTTAGAATTAGCGAAAGCTTTGCAGGCCCTGATAAGAGAGGTTTTGTCTGGAAGGATTCTGCCACTCACTCTCCTTATGGCTCTGGAGAAGTTGGGAGTCTCGGTTACTTACCTGTGAGTAAAGAAATTAGACTACTGAATACATTCTGAAGTTCTTTTCAGTTTATGAACTTTGTCATCAAGCCTGTTAATTGACAAACTAATGGGTAGTCCTTCCTTTTGTTCCTTAGAGTTTTTCGTCTTTTCAGAAACGGTCCAGCTGTATTGTCTTCTTAAATGCTTTCCCGTCATTTATTTTCTATTTTAAACCGATATCTGAATGAAATTCCTCTAAAGGGACAAAAGTGTGAGGAGTAAACACGGAGTAATTGCTGCATTTTGTTAGGACTGGTTTGGTCAGACCAAACTTGAGCAAATGTTTCAGGTTTGATACTTTACGACGTGCTGGGGTGCCTGACTAGTTCAGTCCGAGGAGCATGCGATTCTTGATCTCTGGGGGGCAAGTTCGAGCCCCACGTTGGGTGTAGAAATTACTTCAGAATTAAAAAAAAATACTTTATGACATGTTAAAAATTACAATTACAGCTAAAAGTAACTGATCAGAGTTTTCCATGCAGGCTTAGTTCTGAGCTCTTAATTTGTTTTTCACTCATTTAATCTTGATAAAACCTTGTAAGGTGGAAACATTTATCTCTCTTACAGATGAGAAAACTAAAAGCACCAGGAGGTTAAATATGTCAGAGGTCACACAGCGGACCTTTGTAATTTCACACTCTTAACCACTGTTACATGGTGCTGTAAGGGTTTAGTGTTAAGAATTTTCCTTCCCAGGGCCCCTGGGTGGCTCAGTGGGTTAAGCGTCTGCCTTTTGCTCAGGTCTTGATCTCAGGGTCCTGGGATCGAGTCCCGCTGCCAGAGTCCCTGCTCAGTCTCTTCCTCTGCAGCTCCCCTTGCTTGTTCTCTCTCACGTGCTCTCTTTCTGAAATAAATAAATAAAATCTTAAAAAAAATTCCTTCCCTAAATTTATTGTCTGTGAATGATCGTGAATGCAGTTTGGAGGAGGGGTTTTGTTTGCTTTTTGTGTGCAGTGTCTTAGACAAAAAAACTGAGACCATGTTTATGTTTAATTGAAAAATGAAAAAGATACATTTGTTATTTGTATACATTTGTAAAATTTAAAAGTCCTTAAGCAACTAGAATAGCTATTCTTGAAGTACCATACTTACAGTACTAAACCCCTGGCAAGGGAGGCCCTGAGATCCTTTCAGAGGATTCATAAAGTCAAAATTATTTTCATGAAAATTCCAAGGCATTATTTGCCTTTTTTACTCATTGTCTCCCAAGTATACAGTGGAGTTTTCCAGAGACTACGTGACATATGATATATGGCAACAGATTGAATGCAGAGGCATATATGATGATCTGTCTTCTGTTGAGCCACACATTAAAAAGATTTTCAAAAATGTAAAGTAGTACCCCTTTTCTTACTAATTTTGTTTTGTTTTGGAAAATAGTTATTTTTTTTTCATAAAATGCTATTTTGTTAACATGTAATGAGTTTTTGTTATTTGATGATTTCATTACTTTTATTATTTTAGTTTTTCCTCCTTTAAAATAAGAATTTGGGGCACCTAGCTGGCTCAGTCCATAGAGCATGTGACTCTTGATCTCAGGGTCGTGAGTTCAAACCACATGTTGAGCGTAAAGTTTACTTAAAAAAAAGAAAAATAATAAGAATTCATAATCATCAGAGAAGTTTGCCCCCCATTATTAGCTATTCATTCAAAACAGTTTTTTTAAAGTAGCTATTCCTCTTGATATTTAATACATTATCATTTGGATTTTTTTTTGTTTCTACTGAAGATATGCATACTCCAAAGCCATTGTAGACTGTTTATCTGAAAGCTAATAAGATTTGATCAATGTAGGTGATCAAAAAAAAAAGAACTATTCCAGAGTCATTCCACTAGAAGTTGTATCAAGGACAGTTTACTGAGATTCATTATTCATTCTGCCTTTTCAGAATGCTGCCATCATAAGTTATATTGTAGTGCTCAGGCAAATTTGTAGCAATTTCCCTCCTTTGAGTACAGTTGAAAAACTTTGGCTCAGTGTCTAACATTTACATATAGCATATTTCAGAATGTAAAATGTTAATAAATTTTCTCGCCCCCCCCCCACACCCTCTTATTTTATCCTGTATTGAATTATGTGCTGGAGTTTCAAAATAAATGATTCCCCTGCCTCAGTCAGATGCTGATGCATGGGGATCTACAGTGAAATGCTTCCAAAATATGAAGATGAAATTAGGAGGGGAAACAGATTAAAACTACAAAAAAAAAAAAAAAAGTAATAGGTTAAATCAGCTGCCTGCAGAAGTTCCTACCCTAAGGATTGATTTATTTTTGTTTAGACCATAGGATAAATTTTGCCACTGTTACTTGGTCTAAAAGAGGAGGATGTAATCTCTAGAAAACCCACCAAGAACTGGGTCTTTGTAAATATAGCTACAACTAACCATTGTAACCTCTTTGAGGAAAAGAAAACAGATCAAGGAAGAACTAAAATGCATGGAGCTAAAAATGGAAGCCCCGGGACTGGGGGTGGTCATTGTATCCAAAACTGACAGGGAAGGAGGTTCTTGAACAGCTGTCAGGAGCAAATTGTTCAATTTGGCAAATCTCGAAAGCATTGGTTCTCAACCCCGGGACATATTTTGCCTCCCAAGGGACATCTGACTGTGTCTGGAGACAATTTTGGTTGTCATAACTGGTGGTGGTGGTGTTGGTTGAAGTGTTGCTATTGACATTTAGTTGGGTAGAGGTCAGGAATGCTCCTAAACATTCTACAATAAGAATGGACAGGACAGGGTGCCTGGGTGGCTCAGTCGGTTAAGCGACTGCCTTTGGCTCAGGTCATGATCCTGGAGTCCCGGGATCGAGTCCCACATCGGGCTCCCTGCTCTGCGGGGAGCCTGCTTCTCCCTCTCCCCCTCCCCCTGCTTGTGTTCCCTCTCTCGCTGTGTCTCTCTCTCTCAAATAAATAAATAAAATCTTAAAAAAAAAAAAAAGAATGGACAGGACAACCCTTTGCACCCCACTCCAACAAGAATCATCTTGGCCCAAAATGTCAACACTGCTGAGGTTGAGAAACCCTGCTCTAGAGTAAGAAACTGTTCTCAAGTTTTTTTTTTGTTTGTTTTTTGTTTTTTTTAAGATTTTATTTAATTGCGAGAGAGAGAATGAGAGACTGAGAACATGAGAGGGAGGAGGGTCAGAGGGAGAAGCAGACTCGCTGCTGAGCAGGGAGCCTGATGTGGGACTCGATCCCGGGACTCCGGGATCATGACCTGAGCCGAAGGCAGTCGCTTAACCAACTGAGCCACCCAGGTGCCCATCTCAAGTTGTTTTATTAGAGGACTACCCGCCAAGGTCTTTCAGCTTTCTTTGTTTTGATTCTATGCTCAGTGAAGAATCTTTTAATGGTAACGTGGTGTTTTATGTGGGTTTTTTGTTTTTGTTATTTTGTTTTTAAGTACCAGAGAGATTGATCAGTGAGTATTACTGTATTTAACAAATACTTATGTAGTAACTGTTCAAAGAGCTTTATAAATATTAGCAATCACAACAGCACCATATTGTTATCCCATTTTACAGCTGATGACATATAGGCATAGAGAGGTTTGGCAACTTGGCCATGGTCACAAAGCTAGTTAGTGGATTCAGATTTTACTGCATAAGTAGTTTCAACCCTTTGCAGTAATATAGAAATTAACTATATTTATACATTGATGCCTTTTTCGTGGTTAACCTGAGTCAGTCTTTCCGCTTAATCAATTCTGGATGAACTAAAGAGGTCAGGTTTCTGAATCTGTAAAGCTAGATTTAAGATGATCCCATCAAAGCATTAACACTCAGATGAAAGGACTTGAAACATCGAGTCCCCTTTTGAGACAGTTGATTGACTATCATACATTAATAATTTTTTCCTGCAGTTTTTGTTATTTTCGGACTTTTCAAAATGCTTCCTATGTAGTTTCTCCAATATCATTTGAACTCAACCTTAGTTTATAGTGTAATCAGACTTCTGCTGTATGTAGAATATACTGAACTGTGTAGAATCATAAAATGTTTGGAAATAACAGGCAGAATGAATTAGGAAAAAATGCCGCCTTCTTTGTTTATTGTGAACATGGAAATTTCCACATTCTCTAAGTGTTTTTTACTTAGAAATATATATTCTCAAGGTGCTTGCATGGTTCATTTGGTTGAGTGTCCAACTCTTGATTTCGGCTCAAGTCACCATCTCAGGGTCCTGGGATTGAGCCCTGCATCAGGCTCCTTGCTCCATGCTGAGTCTGCTTGTCCTTCTTCCTCCCCCTCAGTCCTGTGGCCTGCACATGGGTGCATGCGGTCTCTCTTTCTCTCTCTCTTTCTCTCAAATAAAATCTTAAAAAATATATACGTATTCTTGGGGCGCCTGGGTGGCTCAGTTGTTAAGGTCTGCCTTCGGTTCAGGTCATGATCTCAGGGTCCTGGGATCGAGCCCTGCATTGGGCTCCCTGCTAGGCGGGAAGCCTGCTTCTCCCTTTCCCACTCCCCCTGCTTGTGTTCCCTCTCTCAGTGTCAAATAAAAAAAAATAATAATATATATTTATATATTCTTTTGTGTATCTTCTATTCATAATTTACTCTTTTTATTGAAGTATAGTAGACATACAATACCATATTAGTTTCGGCTGTACAACATAGGGATTCAACAATTACATATGTTAGGAAACGCTCACCATGGTAAATTTAGGTGCCATATATCACCATAGAAAGTTATTACCATATTATTGACTATATCCCCTATGCTGTACTTTTCATCCCCATGACTTATTTATAATTGGAAGTTTGTACTCATTTACATTTTTTATTGTAAAATATATGTAATATAAAATTTACCATTTTAAGTATTCAGTTCAGTGACATTGAGTACATTCACATTGTTGTGCGACCATCACCACTGTTCATCTTCAGAAATTTTTCATCACCCCAATCCATTTACTCTTTTTTTTTTTTTTAAGATTTTTATTTATTTATTTATTCATGAGAGACAGAGAGAGAGAGGCAGAGGGAGAAGCAGGCTCCCAAGGAGCAGAGAGCCCGATGCGGGACTCGATCCCAGGACCCTGGGATCATGACCTGAGCCGAAGGCAGACGCTTAACCATCTGAGCCACCCAGGCGCCCTACTCTTTTTTTTTTTAAACAAAGAGAATGAACATGTTTTTCCTCTTATTGTAAGTAAGTTCTATGCCCAGTGTGGGGCTTGAACCCACAACCCTGAGATAAGAGTCACATGCTCTACCGACTAAGCCAGCCAGGCGCCTCTCCATTTACTCTTAATTGTATGTAAAAGATATATATATCCCTCCAGGCTTTTCATCATTTTTTTTTAATCTGCTCACTACATACCTCATATTGGTATAGACTTTATATTGACATTAGCATTTTCAGACATTAGAATATATATTGTCCTCTAAATACGCCCATGTAGGGGCGGCTCAGTCGTTAAGCGTCTGCCTTTGGCTCAGGTCATGATCCCAGGGTCCTGGGATAGAGCCCCGCATCAGGCTTCCTGCTCCGCGGGAAGCCTGCTTCTCCCTCTCCCACTCCCCCTGCTTGTGTTCCCTCTCCCGCTGTGTCTCTCTCTGTCAAATTAAAAAAAAAAAAAATCTTTAAATATGCCCATGCAAATTGATTTTTTATGGAAGTTTTATTTAACCCTAACCCATTATTTCCTAAGTTACATTTTGGGTGGGGGAAAGGGGGTCTATGAACGAATAAATTTGGCAAATTCTTGTTGAACAGGTTTCTTCACTATAGAACTCTCAGAGGTTTGAATATGATAATATCTATTATGTGCGTGTAAAATGAGAGTATAATTTTCTGAATTTATTAGTCCAGTGTATACTTTTTTAGTAAGTATGGGACATAATGCAATTTTTTTTTAAGATTTTATTTATTTATTTGACAGAGAGATTGAGCTGTCACAAGCAGGGAGAGCGAGAGGGAGAAGCAGACTCCCTGCTGAGCGGGGAGCCTGTTGTGGGGCTCTATCCCAGGACCCTGAGATCATGACCTGAGCCAAAGGCAGCCACTTAACTGAGCCACCCAGGCACCCCGGGACATAATACAATTTGAGAAATATTGCTTGAATATTATCTGAAGGTTGAAAGTGCAAGGAACCATGGTATAATTTGACATCTTGAAATTCTTTTCAGGAATTCACTATATATCTCTATATCATTTTAGTTTATTAATGAGCCTTTCATTTACATTTTACTTGGGGATTGTGGGGGGAGAATTTTCTGTCATACTGATGGACAAATGTGTTGCTGTGTGAGTTAGCATAATATACTGAAAAGCACTTGGCTTTTGGAGGCCTAGTTATGCAATTTAGTAGATGCAACTTTGGACAAGTTTCTTACCTCTTAGGGCTTCATTTTCTCGTTTGTAGGATGGAAATTAATTGGTCTTACCTTACAAGGATGATGGTGGGTGGGTGGATGTGTGTGTTGGGGGGGGTTGTGTGTAGTGTTTCTCCCTGCTCCTTACCCCTACCCCAACATGCTGAGCTAGAAGTTGAAATTCAGAATAGGGTTTTAGGAGTGGCTTGTGTATAATCTAACTTTTGTAGATTGTGTATGCTGTTTTTTCATACAACCCTAAAATCTCATAGCTTTCAAAAATGAGATTGATTTCACACTCATTACAAGTTTTAGTGGTAGTTCAGGTTGCAGTTGACTCCACCTGTCTTTTTTCATCTGCAATTCAGGCTCTGAAGGATGGCATCCATCTGGAACATGCCGTTATTTGAGAGAAGGGACAAAGATCAGAGCACTAATGGGAAACTGTGCCTCTTAAAGCTTCTGAGACATGGCACACATTACATTTATTCATATTCCATTGACCAAAGCAAATGGCATGGTCAAGCCTGATGTTAATAGGGTGGAGAGGTAACCACATTATATTACTGCTCATGAAGGTCATGTTGGCATTTTCATATAGTTCCTATAGCATGAATGAGTTGCAAATCACATGGAAATGGGCACTGTTACATAATCATCTTATATGGTGGGGAAGTGAATAACTAGGAATAAACAAAAATAAGCATGGGCGCAAACCATCAACCTTACATCTATGAAAAAAATGTACGTTACATTCTAAAGAAATCACTTTTACATACTTTATGGGATGTGTGTGTCTGGACATGGGCACTCATACATCAGTATACATAGATTAACTAACAATAAATAATTGTCAATTTTCAAATGAGAGCATTAAATTTGACTTTTTATTTTTATTATAGGTATATTAAAGCAAGTGAAAGATTACATTAAACAGTGTAGCAAATGCCAGGAGAAACTAGATCGCTCCCGTCCAATATCAGATACTTCAGAAATGCTGGAAGAATTGGGATTAGACCTTGAATCTGGAGAAGAAAGTAATGAATCAGAAGATGATCTGAGCAATTTTACTTCACCTCCAACTACAGCCTCCAAGCCTGCAAAAAAGAAGCCAGTATCCAAACATGAACTTGTATTCGTAAGTGGAACTTTCTATTCACCTTTAACATCTATAACTAATATATTAGTATTTGTAGTCTTGGTGAATTTTTTTCTTAAAGTACTGAGATTGCTTGATTGTTGGCACTGAGATTGGAAATTTAAGTCTGTGTGTCAGGTAATGCACTCTGTTGTTACGTACACTAAAAGTATGCTAATACTGCTTTTTCATTAATCATAAATATTCCTGTTGTTTCTTCTCTTCAGAATGTTACTTGGTTTGTTGTTAATCATTCTTGCTGTCTTTTTAAATGCTATATTGGTAAAGGTAGACAGAATACATTTCTGGAAGCAGTCTCTAGGTCGTGAAGCAAGGTAAAAATCAAACTGGCTAGGCCTTTGTTTTTTACCTCCATTACTTTCATACATCATCATATTTCTGACTGGCAAGAAGAGGCAGCAAGAAGTGAGATGCAGGTTTTCATTGGGTCAAGTAGAATGAACATAGCAGAAAATAGTGAGAATGACCTAATTTTTATTTAAATATATAGATATGATATCTGGCTATTTCTTCATATTAATTAATGGTGTCTTTAAAAATGAATGTGTCATGTTTTAAATTCTGTTAAAGGTACAAATACAAATGATATATAATACAACTCTTGGTCTTAAACTTATTTTGATAGGTTGACACCAAAGGAGTGGTGAAACGTTCTTCTCCAAAACATTGTCAGGCTGTCTTAAAACAGCTCAACGAACAGAGACTCTCCAACCAGTTCTGTGATGTTACTTTGTTAATTGAGGGAGAAGAGTACAAAGCTCATAAATCTGTTCTGTCAGCTAATAGTGAATATTTTCGAGATCTTTTTATTGAGAAAGGAGCTGTTTCCAGTCATGAGGCAGTGGTGGATCTTTCTGGTAAGAAGTTTCTAATATTCTTCCTTTTTGTTTATAAGTACTTACTGGAAGAAGGGCGTGTGTGTGTGTGTGTGTGTGTGTCTTAGAAACTCAGGATTTATGCTGTAGTGGGAGAAGCCCACTTATAGTAGTAGACTAAGCTGAATTGAAAAAAAAGTCCTTCCTTTTAGCAAAGTTTCCAAGGTACGGTTATGGAAAAGGCTGTCATTTTCTATCCCTACCTCTTAGGTGAGACAAATGTAGCAGTAGAAAAATTTCTGAGATTTACATGGCTAAAAACAGTTTGAGAGAAATCTGTAACTGCATCAGTGTTATATTACACTAAGTGAATATGTTATTTAAAACATAATAACATAATAACATATTATGACTGTTAAAAAAAATTGACTGCAGGGCGCCTGGGTGGCTCAGTCGGTTAAGCGACTGCCTTCGGCTCAGGTCATGATCCCAGGGTCCTGGGATCTAGTCCCACATCAGGCTCCCTGCTCTGCAGGGAGCCTGCTTCTCCCTCTCCCACTCCCCCTGCTTGTGTTCCCTCTCTCTCTGTGTCTCTCTCTGTCAAATAAATGAATAAAATCTTTAAAAAAAAAAAAAAATTGCATCTTATGTTGTGGAACATGTAATAATAGAGCACTTTTGTAGGTCTGTTGTTTTTCATTTTTAAAGATTATTAGAATTCATTAGTTTGAGTAATCAAACAATATACAACAATCAAAATTCTAGGTGTGGTTTTTTCTTTGATTTTATTATTGTAAATTAATAATTTGACTTTCTTTTGGCTCACTAGAACTTATATATTGGCTTAGGAGTCAACAAATGAAAATTTAGGAAGAATTAAAATAGGTAACCTTATTTATACATTTTTTCATAATACTAACTTACTGTAACTCTTGATTACTGAATTACTGACATCACTGTGTGAAATACCATTTCCCTTTTCTCAAACAAAAAAGTGACTTCATCCAGGTATATAAATACTTACTTAGTTAACCGCTGATCCTTTTCTACCTTATACTTTTTTTTAATATTTAAAGTAGACTTCACACCCAATATGGAGCTCAAACTCATGACCCCAAGATAAAGGGTTGCATGCTTTACTGACTGAGCCAGCCAGGCACCCCAACTTATACTTTTTAAAATCACTTCTTCTGGGAAGACAAACATATATATTTTTTTCTTTGCAGTAGCTATGCTTAATTATTTAAAAATATTTATTAAGCATCCGCTGTGTGTGAGGAACTAGCCTGGGCTTTGGGGATACAATGGTGAGCAAAAATTTTCATGGAGCATAGAATTGCATTATATTTTAGATTAACAATATTTACTTTTTTCTGAGTTTTATGACTCAGGAGAAAATATGTCTTATACTCGGCCATCTGAATAATAAAACTCATCACAGATGTAGTCTTTTGATTTAAGTTAACTTTGGAATTTTTTTCCTGTCTTTCATGCATCTGAAGCATAAAGAGAGGTATATGAGTGTTCTTTTTCAGTTTTCTCAGCAGCTTGGCAAATGAAGTGTCTGCCCCAAATTAACCGCAATACAGCATCCTAATATTCCAATAAAATACCTCTTTTATTTTTCATCCTATATGCTTATTTTTATATTTTGTGCAGCAAGTATAATGTAAGTCGATAGGCAAAGTAGATAGTTTTTATTTGGTTTAAATATTAGGTAAATAATATAAAATATATGTGTAGTATAAAAAGATAAAATGTACATCTTTTTTAATTATCTAGTTAATATAGTTGAATTAATCAGTGTTTTCCTTTATTTGTTTATGCTTGTAAAAGGTTTTTCTGTACTAAATCATAAAGACATGTTCATGGATTACCTTTTTAAATTTTCATAATTTTTCTTTCATATTTATAAGTTTTAATCTATTGGGAATTTTTGTTGGTGTGAAATAGGTGTTTGATTTCATTTTTTTCTCATTTTGATCATCACTTGTCCCAGAATCCTTTAGTGAAGACTCCATCCTCTTCTTGTCAGTTGACCATACAAATTCTCTTAACAAAACAAAGTTCCACATTTTTGGTACCAATTCTAGGCTTTGTTCTAGTCTATTGGTTGTCTCTCTGTATATTATTTTCACTTGGTCTTAATTACCTTACCGTTATAATAATGAGGAAAGTCTCCCACATTTATTATTCAGGTGGGTCTTAGTTTCATAACCCTTTGCTCCATAAAAACTAAAAGTAGCTTGTCAACTTACACACACAAAATAGTGTATTTTGAAAGAGATTACATTGAATTAATAGTTTTAGAGATTTTTCCATAACAATCTCAAACACCTTTTGTAGAATTACTCTAAGATACTTTATATGTTTTGAAACTATTATATTTTTTCCTTAAAATTATATAATTTTTAATTTATTTTGGGTGTATATTTTATATACAGTAATATTGCTAAATTTCCTTAGTCATTCAGTCATTTATAGATTCTTTGAAATTTTCCGTATAAAAGAAATAGATTATCTGCTAATAGTGTTGGTTTTGTTTCTACCTTTCTAGTCCTTGTATTTTGAATTTTTTTTTCTTGCTTTAAAGCTCTGTCCAGGACCTCAAAAAAAAAACAGCAGTTGAATAAAAGTGGTGATGAGGATTCATTTATCTCATTCCCATTTCTAAAGAAAGTGCTTTTTTACCATGAAGTATATCATTTGGTAAATGTTTTAAATAGATGACCCTTTACCCTTTTAACATTAAGGATATTCCCTCTAAAATGAATGCTGGTTTGTAACTCTCTGAGGAGGTTCCCGGGTGTAATCTGTACAGGGGGCCAGTACTTACGAGGATTGTCTTGGGTGGCTGCAAGATGAGTAGGTCTCAGTGCCAGAATCTTAAAAGTTTATATAAAGGCCTTAATTTTGTTTAGTCATGTACTCAGGAGGCCTTAAGTGGGTTCAGTCATGTACCTAGGTTTTTATCTCAAGGATGTATTTTTGGGGCAGCTTCTGAACCGAGAAGGCAAATGAAACACACATTCCAGGAACATGGGAGCGGTGGGGGGCCTCTACTTTTCTGGGTCCAGCTCAAGGGTCAACTGGAAGGCAAGTCTTCTTGATGACCTCCTCCAGCAGTGTTGACTTATCACATATTTTTTTCTGTATTTATTGAAACCTTGTATTTTTACCATTCTGTTAATGTGGGAAATTACATGATTTTCTGGTAAGCCAGGTTTTCGTTCTTGAAATACATCCAGTTCAGTCATATTATTATCAGCTTTTGTATAAATTGCTGTTTGGTTTGCAAATATTGTCTAGAACATTTGCATGTATATTCATGAGTAATTTTTCTTTTTTCTTTTTCAGTTTCATGTTTTGATAACAGAGTTGGTCTAGTCTTATAAAATGTATGGTCCCTCCAGTTTTTAGATACCTGAAAATAGTTACTGTGTGATTAGAATTATTGTTTTCTTGAATGTTTGGTAGAATGGTAGCTAGAGTTGCCTGAGCTTGTAGTGGAGTTGGGGGGAAGATTTTTTAACTACTAATCTAGCACATTTAATGGTTAGAGAGTTATTCAAGTTTTCTTTATTTTGAGAGAGTGCGCGAGAGCACACACACATGCAAGCGGAGGGAGGGGCAGATAGGGAGATAGAGAACCTCAAGCAGACTCCCTGCTGAGCTTGGAGCCCAACGCAGGGCTTGATCTCATGACCCTGAGATCATGATCTGAGCCGAAACCAAGAGTTGAACACTCAACCTACTGAGCCACCCAGTCACTCCTCGTTTGCATTTTCTATCATTTTTCTGTTAATTTTTACAGAGTTGTAAAATAGTCTAGTCAATAGCAGTCAGTCAGTGGTGCATATTCAACACTGCTCTTAGCACCTGGTAATCTTTTTTGCCTCTTACCAAGTTTTGACTAATTTTTTTTGACACACCGTTCAAAGAACAGCTATTGCGTCACCTGGATGGCTCAGTTGGTTGAGCAGCAGACTCTTGATTTCGGCTCAGGTAATGATCTCGGTCATGAGATCAAGCCCCACACTGGGTGCAGATCAGTGCAGATCCTGCTTGTCCCTCTCCGTCTCACTGTGCCCCTCTCCGTCTCGCTGTGCCCCTCACCAGCTTGCACGTGCTCTCACTCACTCTAAAATAAGTAAATAAAATCTTAAAAAAAAAAAAAAATTATTAAAAAAAAAAAAACAGTTATTTTCTTTTACTGATTTCCCTTCTTTAATCTTCCTTTTACCATATTTGAATGTTACTATCTTTTTATTTTATTTTATTTTTTAAAGTAAACTGTACACCCAGTGTGGGGCTCAGACTTACAACCATGAGATCAAGAGTCACATGCTCTACTGACTAAGCCAGACAGGGGCCCCTGTTACGTGGTCTTTTTTTGACTATTAGGTATAATGCTTTTAACCCAATAACTCCTGGCCTTTCTAACTTTCTGGTTTAAGCATTCAAGGCTATAAGTTTCTCTTTAATACTGCAGATTTGTTGTTTTTAACCCTACATGTGGTCTATTTTTATAAGCTTCATTTTGCTTGAATAGAATGTTTTTTCAGTTGGGAGCAATATTCAGTATATTCTGGCTTGTTAATTCTTTACTGATTATTTTGTGTGCTTGATCTATCAGTTATTGACAGAGGTGCTTTAGAATATTAACTAGTATGATTCATTTGTCTATTACTGAGTTTCTTCAGTTTTTGTTTTGTGTATCTTGAGGCCATGTTAGATGCATGTAAGTTTAGAATTACTGATTTATGATAAAATATCCTTTTATCATTAGGTAATGACCCTATCTTTACTGATGCTTTTTATCCTTAAAATATATGTTGGCTGCTCTTATAAATATTTTTTTATTTTTCTATTTTGGCTGCTTTAGTAAATATTTTTTATTTATTTTTTTTTTAGACGTGATTTCTTTTTTTTTTTTTTTTAATATTTATTTATTTATTTGAGAGAGCGAGAAAGTACATGAGAGGGGGGAGGGTTAGAGGGAGAAGCAGGCTCCTCGCCGAGCAGGGAGCCCGATGCGGGACTCAATCCCGGGACTCCAGGATCATGACCTGAGCCGAAGGCAGTCGCTTAACCAACTGAGCCACCCAGGCGCCCTAGTAAATATTTTTTAGATACGTAAACAATATTTTCATTACTATTTGCCTAGCATATCTTCCATCTTTTATTTCCAACCTTTTTGTGTCTTTATGTTTTACATTTCTCTTTAAACATCGTATTTCTGGATTTCGTTCTTAATCCAGCATGAGGATCTTTGACTTTCAACTGTTCTGCATAGAAATTGTTGAACTTCCTGAACCCAGCAATTGAGATTGTTGTCCTTAATCAGTTGAGAAAAAGTCTCAGCCAGTATGCCTTCAAAACTTGCTTCTGCCTCATTTTCTCTCTTCTACCTTTTGAAATTGCAATTAGATAGACATTCTCACTTTATATTCTGTGACCCTTAATTTCTCTTCTGTATTTATCTCTGTATAGATTATTCTGGAAAATTTTAATTGACCCGGTATTTAGCTGTGTTTCATTTGCTGTTAAATTAATTTATTGAATTTTTTATTCCAGTCTCTTTTCCTTTTTTTTTTTTTAATTTTTAATTTTATTTAAGCTCTGTGCCCAACATGGGGCTTGAACTCACAAACCTGAGATCAAGAGTCGTATGCTCTGAGCCAGCCAGGCACCCCTCTTTTCCATGTACTTCTTTTTCAGAAGTCTCTTTTAGGACGCTACTTTTTATGACGTTTTGCTCTTTACTGGTGATATGCCACTCTTGACTTTCTATATTTGATCATAGCAATACTTAAAATCTTTGCTGATTTGATTCATGCTGTTTGTTTCCACTAGCTTTTGTTCATGGTGCCTTGTTTGTGATTTTTTTTTTAATTTGTGCACAATGAATTCATATTCTTTAGAACTTTGTGGGAAATCTTTTGAGTTCTGGGTTGAAGGTGTTTTCCACAGAGAAAACACTTGATTCTTAAGATGCTGAGGGCATTAGCAGTCTAGGACTGCTTTAAATTCTGAGCCTGAGGATTTTTTGACTACCAAAGTGCTATATATTCAACAAAAAATCCCACCAAATTAAGGTTGGTTTGTGGTCATGACTAATCAGGAAAGATTTCTTACCTCTTTCACTCAGTGCTGGGGTACCAAGTATATTTAAAATAATACTTTAGGGCGCCTGGGTGGCTCAGTTGGTTAAGCGACTGCCTTCGGCTCAGGTCATGATCCTGGAGTTCCGGGATCGAGTCCCGCACCGGGATCGAGTCCCGCATCGGGCTCCCTGCTCAGGAGGGAACCTGCTTCTCCCTCTGACCCTCCCCCCTCTCATGTGCTCTCTCTCTCTCGTTCTCTCTGTCTCAAATAAATAAATTTAAAAAAAATTTTTTTAAATAATACTTTAAAGTATTTCTCTCTCTCTCTCTTTTTTTAAGTAGGTAGGTCAAATTAGGCTATCTTAGTTAGCCATATTGCTGGATGTGGAAGTCCCTGTCATAATTTTTCTTTCTGTTGGTTCGTAACCCTCCCATGAACTCCCTGGTATAACCGGAAAGTGGCCCCTGTACCAAAGAAACAGGCCAGTTCACGTTGGTAGGTGGCAGTTCTAACAAGCAAAGGGCATTTATATATGAGGCTTGTTTTGGGCGGCAGCAAGATGAGTGGATCTCCACACCAAACTTAAAAGTTTAGAAAGAGGCCTTAACTGGGTGCAGTCACATCAGTGTAGGTGTTTTCAGTATCACATCACTATCTCACTGTTATGTCCTTAGAGCAGCCTCAGGGAGCAGGAAAGGCAAATGGCACCCACATTCCAAAGACGGGGCAGGGGATGAGGAGCCTTTGAGTCCCCAGAGTCCAGTTCACAGGTCAGCTGGAGATCACATCTTTTTGATGATGTTCCCTAACACTACCTATAACCAACTGTTTTGCCCATTTTTTTTTTCTTTTTTTAGTTTTAATTTTGGTAAACACCATTTATAAAATTTATCCTCTTAATGACTTTTAAGTATTAACTATGTTCACATTGTTGTGTAATGGATCTCTGGAACTTTTTTATCTTGCAGAATTGTCCATTTTGATTAAGATGTTTTGCAGAGTCTGTATATGTGTATGTAAAAAGGCTAGGGGTAAAAACAAAATACTGAAATTATCTGCCTCTTACCTCTTAGCAGAATTATGAATGTTTTTTTTTTAACTTTTCTTTTGCACGTTTTTATATTTTACAGTAAACATATATGACTGTGCCTTTGAAAAAATTGTTTTAGATCTTTAAAGTGTTACTTGGAACAGTGTTAATTCTTTTGTGGGAAATTTTTTTTATGACTTGAAACTTAGAAATTTAAAAGGTGCTAGGTAGAAGACCAAAATACATTATTCTGTTTGGGTCTTTTGAAAGAAATACTTAGCTCAAGCTTATTTAACTTGATCTTGTAATTTGTAGCAGAAGTAACATGGCTTTAGCCTATTTAATTACCAACTTTCCTAGGATGACTGAATTAGCCATGATGATGATGTTAATGTGTAGTGCCCTCAGTTTTCAATGGACTGTTAATATACCTCACAGTTTAAGGCTTCCCTTCTTTGTCCATCATTTATCTGCTTATATGAAAGGACTGCATTTTATGTACCTTGAGTCAAAACTGAAAAATAGAGCAAATGTGAGTTTTTAAAAGGTTGCTTTCACTCTTTATTTCAGTAAAAGATCTCTAAGATAAATTATGATACCAGAAAAGCAAGGCATAGGACAGTGTACGTAATATGGTACCTACTATAAGAAGGGGGAATAAGATTATTTGCTTAACTGTATAAAGAAGTTCTGAAAGCGGTACAGATTCTTAATCATACTGGTTGTGGAGATGGAGTTGGACTTATCACTCACTGTTTTATCTTCTGATTTTTGAATCATGAATATTAATGGCTTTTGTAAGTGAAGTATTGAGAACTTACAGATACACTGCTTTTATTTTCTCACATAAAACGAGAATGTAATACCTCCTGTGTATAGTAATTATTTTCTTCCTTAGACCAGGAATAGGCAAACTGTAGCCCAAAGGGGCAATCCTCCCTTCCCTCCCATTTTGTAAATAAAGTGATATTGGAACACAGCCATGCTCATTTGTGTATGTATTATCTTTGGCCCCTCTTTTCAGCTACAGTGGCAGAGTTGAGTAGTTAAAACAGACACCTTATGGCCTACAATAATTATTATCTGATTCTTTACAGAAAAATTTTGCTGTCCCCCTGTGTTAGATCTTGTTCTTAAATTTTCAGTAGTAAGCCCTTTGTTCACAATCATATTTTTATATGGACTTCTATTATTAAAATATACAGTTATACTTACAGAAGTGAGATTAGGGGACAGGTTGGTTGAACCCTGCCTACTTACCTGCCTCCCTCTCTTTTTTTACCCTCCATTCTCCAGCAGCTGTTTCTTGAGGGGAATTTGAGGAACCCCCGGGGTTCTAAGGAGTACAGTTTGAAAATGACTGCTTACAACAACTCTTTGAGGTAGTAAGTCTGATATTATTTTCTATTTTAGGTATTGAGAGACTCGGCTCATAGAAGTGAGTTAGTCAAGGCTTATTAAGCAACCAGAACACAAAACAAATCCAGAGTGTTTAATTGCAGAATAAATGGTCATATTTGTCTTTTTGCCTTTGTATTTTATTTTATATTGTCATAATCATGTATTAATTGTTTTTCTAAGGTGTTTTAGTAGTTATTTAACTTTTTTGTACCCCCCCCTTTTTTTTGTTCCATGTAGGTTTTTGTAAGGCAAGCTTCCTTCCTTTATTGGAATTTGCCTATACTTCTGTGCTAAGTTTTGACTTCTGTAGCATGGCTGATGTAGCCATCTTGGCTCGCCATCTTTTCATGTCGGAAGTTTTAGAAATCTGTGAAAGTGTACATAAACTAATGGAAGAAAAGCAGCTAACAGTGTATAAGAAGGGTGAGGTCCAAACAGTTGCATCTACCCAGGACTTACCAGAACAGAATGGAGGTACCGCACCTCCTGTGGCTAGCAGCGAGGGAACCACAACAACATTATCTACTGAACTTGGGGATTGTGAAATTGTACTGTTGGTGAATGGAGAATTGCCCGAAGCTGAGCAGAATGGAGAGCAAGGACAACACCCTGAACCCCAGGTTTCTTCAGAGGCTCAAGCCACTCTGTCACCTGTGGGCTGTGTAACTGGTTCCCATCCTGAAATGGAGTCTGTGGACTTAGTAACAAAAAATGATGAGACAGAATTAGAAACTTTAAACAGCAGAGAAGATAGCACAGTTTCTAATATTCATCCCAAACTTTCAAAAGAGAATGTAATCAGTAGCTCTCCAGAAAACAGTGGTATGGGAAATGACACGTCAACTGAAGATATCTGTGCTGAAGACATTCCAGAACAAATGCAGAACCTTGGCCAGTCTTTAAAAGATCAGGAAAATCTAGTTGCACTGACAACAAAGACAGACCTTGGCCCTGATGATGAAACTTACAGAAGCAGGCTTCGGCAGCGTTCTGTTAATGAAGGGGGTTATATCCGACTGCACAAAGGAATGGAGAAAAAGCTGCAAAAACGGAAAGCCATTCCCAAGTCAGCAGTTCAGCAGGTATGATGAAGAGGTGACCTTTGTGGTGTTAGCTTTAAGTCAGAAGCATTCTGTTCATAAACTTAATATACCTGTCATGAAAATTATTTTGGGAGGAAGGGCAGTAGGTGCAGGAAAGCAACTTAATGTTTTAAATACCAATATTACTAAGATAATATTAATTTGAAATAACATGATTCATGACTTTAAAAATTGAAATGAGTTGGGATGCATGGGTGGCTCAGTTGGTTAAGCGTCTGCCTTCGGCTCAGGTCATGGTCCCGGGGTCCTGGGATCGAGCCCTGCATCACGCTCCCTGCTCAGCGGGGAGTATGCTTCTCCCTCTTCCTCTGCCCCTCTCCCCTGCTTGTGCTCTCTCGCTTGCACTCTCTCTCTCTCAAGTAAATAAACCTTTTTTTATTTTATTTTTTTTTAATTTTTTTTTTTTTTAAGATTTTATTTATTTATTTGAGAGAGAGAGAATGAGAGAGAACACATGAGAGGGGGGAGGGTCAGGGGAGAAGCAGACTCCCTGCCGAGCAGGGAGCCCGATGCGGGACTCGATCCAGGGACTCCAGGATCATGACCTGAGCCGAAGGCAGCCGCCTAACCAACTGAGCCACCCAGGCGCCCAATAAACCTTTTTTTAAAAAAATTAAAATATTTACTTAGATTGTGTTTTCTGTCCCTTAATTAGGTAGCCCAGAAATTAGTTCAAAGAGGGAAAAAGATGAAACAGCCAAAAAGGGATACTAAAGAGAATACTGAAGAAGCAGCATCCCATAAATGTGGGGAATGTGGAATGGTTTTTCAGAGACGATATGCCCTTATAATGCACACACTGAAACATGAAAGAGCTAGAGATTACAAATGTCCGGTAAGTAATTGGAAAGCTAATTGAAGATGGTTCTAACTTCGTGATAAACAGAATCCAGTTTACTGTTTCATTGTTATTCTGCTTGTATTCTCTCAGTGTTTCTCTGTCTCCCTTATTTTGCTATGTAAGAGTCATCTTCTGATTTGTGTATGTCATTTCTTTGATCCCCCTCCCCCCAAAAAACAGTGATCTATCTTTGCTTCTTCCTGATACTACCCTAGTAAGACAAGACTGAAATTATCATTTAAAAAATAAAAGCTCAGGGGCACCTGGAAGTCTCAGTCGGTAGAGCATGTGACGCTTGATCTCAGAGGGTCGTGAGTTCGAGCCCCACACTGAGGGTAGAGATTACTTAAAAATAAATAAACTTTAAAAATTGAAAAATATAAGCTCATAGAAGGGTAAAGAGAATGGGGAGGAAACCTTAGCAACTACATTCTGGCCCCTGATAAATAGAGGGAATAACTGATTTAGCAGATTTGAAAGGGCTCATTCCCAGGCTTTCAGTGGGGAAAGCTAAGAATCTGTCCACATTGTATTGCAGAAGTACCAAATGCCTCAGGAATTAGTGTTACTTGCTACTTTGAAAGAAGAAGTGAGTCTCATTGTTAGAAAGTTTTTAAGCAGTTAAATCACCACCACCTTCTCTTCTACTTTCTGAAAGCATAAAACTCTGGGGAACACTGTGTACAGTGAGGGTGAATGTACTATACCCCCCCAAAAAAGGGAAAATAAAACCTTTCATACTGAATGTTGAAACCTTTCAAGTTCTCTTTACCTACTCCAGTCCCAGAATATTAGCAGCCAGACTCTTAACCCAAAAGCAGAAAGGTTTCTCAGAGATGAGAAATCTGAAGCCCAATAACAAAGGACTTGGAGACAGTGCTGACAAAAGCCTGTGGTTGACAGCTTCCCCTGCACCCACCCCACTTATACAGAAACTCCAGTCAGTTTTGTACCATACTGAAATATGTGTAGATGTCAGGGATGATCAGACTCAGGATCAGTATTTCAAGAAAAAAGCAACTTTGAGGATCCACAAATATAAAAATCTCAGAAAAATTGGGAAATAGACTAAATGTCTCAGAAAATAATGCAAAAGACGAGTTAGAAAATGAGAGTAAAGAAATTTAGAGAATTGGTATAGGATGTCTAATATCCAAATAACACCAAAGGGAACATGAGGAGAAAGAAATCATTTGTGCAATAAGGAAAAATATTAGAACTTAAGTTTCCTTGTGAAAAGGGACACGTTGAATGCCCACAACCACGTCATCCATAAGTAAATGTATATCAAGATAAATTATGAAATCTTTAAATCAAGGGACAAAGAAAAAAATCTTATGAATAACGACAGAGAAAAAAAGATGGACTCCTAGAAAGGATAAAGGTCAGAATGGCTTCAGGCTTTTCAGCAGCAACAGTGGAAACTAGAAAAGAAGGAAGGGCACAAGGTCTTTAAAATTCTAAAGGGAAGTGATTTCCACCTTAAAATCTGTAGCCAAACTATCAGTTATTTGTGATGGTAGAATAAGAACACTTTTAGACATGCAAGGTCTAAAAGTTTTACCTCCCAAACTCCCTTTCTCAGGAAGCTTATTGGCAGAGGTGTTCCACGAAAATGAGCAAGACCTGGGAAACATGGGGTCCAATTCTACAGAGTCCAAGCGTAGGAAACAACCAGTCCAGGTTGGAACAGGACAAAATTCTTTGACAGAGATCCCTTTAAGGTGATGTCTTTCAGTCTCCTCTCAGTAGACAATTGAAGGAAGGGTTTGGTATTGAGTTAGCACTAAGTATAAAGAGAAATAAAACAGAAAAAGGAAGGAAAGAGAATCAGAGTGTACTATATGACCCAGCTGTAATAATAACTACATCATTGGAAAAATGTGAACACAGAAATTGGTCAAAACTGGGACATAGCTATATTGAGAAAGTAAGGTAACAGGAAGGGTCTGCATTATGTGGAGGGAGCGGAGGGGTGAAGGAAGAGAATCCTCATCCATTATTCATGTTACTTAGAGTTACCAAGATAAGCATCATGAGAGAGTAAAAAAAAAAAAAAGTGGCAGAAGTAGTAGACCAAAAGAAGAATTTTAAGGACCATCACAGTTTTATCTTTCTACTTTCTCTAACCCCTAGTTTTGCTCCACCTAACAACTATTAGTACTCATATGATGATAGCATTCTTCTGTATCTGTGTCCTACCATTCCTTCTAGACAGACCTAGTCTCCTCATTGATGCCTTTCTTCATTGCTTTGATTACTCCCTCTGTGGTTAGATTATCAACCTCTCCAGAGTAGGGGCTGGGTCTTGACCCCTTTCATCCTTATATCTGATATCTAGCGTATTGTCTTTTATATAATGTATGTGTTTATTGATTTATATAATTGTAACGAAATGGGAAATTGAAATAGTCAAGTTTCATTTAACATTTGTTATGGAATTACATTTAGACAGAATTTTATTTACTTTTTTGTAGTTGTGTAAAAAACAGTTTCAGTACAGTGCCTCCTTGCGAGCACATCTTATTCGACATACCAGAAAAGATGCACCCACTTCATCCTCTTCCAATTCTACGTCTAATGAGACATCGGGAACATCATCTGAGAAGGGGAGAACCAAACGAGAATTTATATGTTCCATATGTGGAAGGACATTACCTAAATTATATTCTCTCCGAATACACATGTTAAAGCATACAGGTGTAAAGCCACATGCGTGCCAGGTAAAGCCATGAAGTTTATTTTATTATATAAAGAAGATTTGTACTTAACTAGTGATGAAACTGGTTGATTCTGGAGTCACCCTCACTCCTATAAAATGTCACAGAGAATTCTAGGACTTTTTCAGTTTGTTGCCTGGATTAAAGGGTGATTCCCAATTGTGTTCTTTCATTTGCTATTTAATTTGTTGTAATTTGAAATGAACCTGTTAGGATGTTCATGAAACTTACTAGGTTTCAGAGGATGTACTGGGTGAGAATAACCAGTTCATTATCCCATTCATCCCTTTAACCTTCAGCAGAACCAATCTGGACTGGAAAGGAACCCATAGTTTAAACAAATCTCCTTAACAAAAATCCTGCCTGTGCTGTGTGTTTTCTAGAGCTGAGGACTGAGACTATCTAAATGCCAAAACAAAACTTCTAGGTGAAGAATCCTATGATGAGCCAGATTAGGGCTATTTGGAACAGTGAAAATTTTCTAGTAGCCCCTGTAGCCTTGCATATAAGCATGACCCATTTTTTTCACCAATGAGATTTTTAATGATTCTCTCTCTTTTTTTTTTTTGCTTTTTATTATGAGAGAATAGAATAGAACCTCATATACCCTTTATCCAGCTTCAGTAGTTATCAACACATGGTCAGCTGTGTTTTATGTTTACTGTCACTCACTGTCCTACTCCCCCGTCCCCTCATTTCTTTTGAAGCCAAGTCCTAAGCATCATTTTATTCTTAAATTTTAAAGATAAGTATTAACTGGGCCTCTGGTCTTTTCATGTAGCACTACTCAAAATGTGTGTGGTCCATGGAAGATAAGTACAGAAATTGAGAGTATACATTTAGAAACTGTCATGGCAGTTGACATTGTTGTGACATTGTTATCATATTTAACAAAAAATGGATTGGGGAAAGAAAAAAAAAAAACGAAACCCTGGTTCTTCATCAGAGTTTGAGAAGCACTGTTCTAGTTGGTGTAGCAAGAAATTAGTATATTTTCTTGTGATTAAGCTCTCATGTCTCTTTTAATATAGAAGGTACACGTGTCTCACAAGGACAGTGTGAGGGTCTGTCGTACTGCTTTGAGCTCCTTCAGTGATCACCTGGATCTAAGAAAAGGAGTAGTATTTGTTAAGTACTGAGTCAGAAGATGACCAACCAGTTAACATCCTTGACACTTGTTTCAGCTTTCAGTTTGTCATTTTGTTTGTAGATATTTTTCTTTAAAATGGCATACACGGGCGCCTGGGTGGCTCAGTTGGTTAAGCGACTGCCTTCAGCTCAGGTCATGATCCCAGGGTCCTGGGATCGAGCCTCACATCGGGCTCCCCCCTCGAGGGGAAGCCTGCTTCTCCCTCTCTCACTCCCCCTGCTTGTGTTCCCTCTCTCGCTGTGTCTCTGTCAAATAAATAAATAAAATCTTGAAAAAAGTAAAAATAAAAAAATAAATAAAATGGCATACACTTTTTCTGTCCTCGTTCTTCAGAAACAGCCCTGATTTCTCTTTTCTGTTTTACCGGTTGAAACACCTGTGCTGTCGCAGGTTTGTGGAAAGACTTTCATCTATAAGCATGGCCTAAAATTACACCAGAGTCTCCATCAATCTCAAAAGCAGTTCCAGTGTGAACTATGTGTTAAGTCATTTGTTACCAAACGGAGTCTTCAAGAACATATGAGTATTCACACAGGTAATGAGAAATTGGTATTGACATAGTTACACATTATATACTCTTAAGTTACCGTTATATTGATTATGCTATAATTATTTTAGAAGTTATATTGATACACTGTGTGCAGTTTTTTATTAATGAAAGTAAGGCTAAAAAATGTTCTTAAATCTAATTTTAGAGCTGTTTATTGGTGTAAAAATAGTCATTGTTGACCTCAGTGTAGAAAAAAGCGTACTGGGTATTAAATTATGCAATATTTAGATCCAGGCACTTAAAGAAATGGTCATGCTTTTAAAAAGTTAATGGGGTCACCTGGGTGGCTCAGTTGTTAAGCAACTGCCTTCAGCTCAGGTCATGATCCAAGGTCCTGGGATTGAGTCCCACATCAGGCTCCTTGCTCAGCGGAGAGCCTGCTTCTCCCTCTCCCTCTGCCTGCCTCTCTGCCTACTTGTGCTCTCTATCTCTCTGTCAAATAAATAAATAAAATCTTAAAAAACAAAACGGGGCACCTGGGTGGCTCATTCGGTTAAGCGTCTGCCTTCAGCTCAGGTCATGATCCCAGGGTCCTGGGATCGAGTCCCACATCAGGCTCCCTGCTTAGTGAGGAGCTTGCTTCTCCCTCTCCACCACCCCACCTCATTCTCTCTCAAATAAATAAAAAATCTTAAAAAAATAAATTAATAGCCAGATATAACTGTCAACATGGTTTAGGGCTTATAATTTTATTAGAATTTTTAGTCTATAGGTAATTATTTTCCAGTGCTTAAAGCAGTTATGTGGAAATGGCTGGTGAAGGGTAGATAGCAGCTCTAGAACTTGTATTCAACTCTGTACTGTTACAATCCAGATGATTATACAAGTGCAGGATGGTCTTTGGGTAGTGGTAATCTTGCTAGTACTGTAGTTTAGAGGAAAGAGAAATTTTGACCTAGTTTGTTGTTCTTCTGAGAAGATGACTGCCAAATGTAATAGCTTCTGTGTCCCCTTGATAAAATAACTTCTGAAGTAGGACATAAAGTATTCTTTTGGAAGAGCACCTGACTGTTGGATTTGTGATGTGTTTTTTATTTTTTATAGGTGAGTCCAAGTACCTTTGCTCAGTTTGTGGAAAGTCTTTTCACAGGGGCTCTGGACTCAGCAAGCATCTAAAGAAACACCAGCCAAAGCCTGAAGTTCGGGGCTATCACTGTACTCAGTAAGTATTTAATACATAAACTGTTCAATTTTCTTGTGTTCCTAGTAGGCTTATTTGAAAGTTGTTTTCACAAGAAAATATCTGAGGTAACTCTAGTCGATAACAATATTATATAAATGAAATTAGCTAAGGGAGTAGAACTTACATCTATATATATCCAATGTGATGGACACGTGAATTAACTCGATGGGAAGAATCCTTTCACAACGGATACATATATCAAACCATTATGATGTACATTTTAAATATCGTAAAATTTTGTCAGTTATATCTCAATAAAGCAAAAAAAAAAAAAAAACCCAAGGAAATGTTTGAAGATAATATTGAATTGTTATTTATTCTTGATTTTATTTTTTTTATATTTTTTTATATATATATTTTTTTATATTCTTGATTTTAATCAATTTTTTTTTGCCTAGATATTGCTATTTATGATTTTTTAGTTTTATTTAGGTATTACATAACACATAACTCACTCACTTGAAATAACTTAAAGACATTCTTCAAATGTATTACCTGGGGGTGGAGACTGTAGGAAGGAAAGGTCCCCAGTGCAAGCCAGAGATTTTTTCTTCTAGGCAGCTCGTCTAAGGTGCTGGGTTGTCTGCTAGTTTTTCCTCTCTTGAGACTCTTTTTATTTTCTCCCTCTTTTTATTTTCCAAAGCCTCCTGAAATTTCTCTTTTAGGGGTGCCTGGGTGGCTCAGTTGTTAAGCGTCTGCCTTCGGCTCAGGTCGTGATCCCAGGGTCCAGGGATCGAGCCCCGCATCGGGCTCCCTGCTCGGCAGGAAGCCTGCTTCTCCCTCTCCCGCTCCCCCTGCTTGTGTTTCCTCTCTCGCTGTGTCTCTCTCTGTCAAATAAATAAATAAAATCTTTAAAAAAAAAAAAAAGAAATTTCTCTTTTATAATTGAGATAAAACTCACTTAATGTAAAATTCATCATTTTAAAGTGTACAGTTCACTGACTTTTAGTACATTTAGTACATTGTGCAATTAGACATCACCACTACCCAATTCCAGAATGCCTTCAGCTGTTACAACTCTATCTTGGCCTTCTCTTCCTGTTTGTGCAGAGTCGGCTAGAGATGAGAGCTTAGGGCCTTCTCAGGTCTTTTCTAAGTATGTATTGCCCTGGGCAAGTGCGTGGACTTCTCAATTCCTGGGAGTATGTGAGAGTTTTTCAAAGCCCCTAATCCACCACCATTTCATTCCCCAGCTTTTTCTCCCAAGCTCTTGGTTTATATATTGTTTGAACCAAACTATCATTTCTTGCCCCATGCGGCGGAGGTGAATACATTTGCCTTTAAATGTTTTCAAAAGACTTCTCCTCCCCCCCCCCCCCCGCCCCCGCCCCCCAATCCTCAGCCCTAATAGAGTTGGGCAAACTAAATGCAGACTCTTTGAGGGGATCCTTCAAGGAGTCACCAGGTGGGTTGAAAGAGACAACCACAGTTCTTTGAGAATAAGTCCCCTCGGGCATTGGGAACCCATGGTGGGAATGCAGTCTTCATGGCTGCTGCTGAACTGAGAAGCAGGGAATGGGACCAAGGTAAGTTCAAATGCTACAAAGCTCTCTTACCAACATTTAATGATTTTTAAAATTATTATATGTTTGCCTGTTCACTGTACACTTTTAATCAGTTTCCAGACTTTGAGTAAAATTGATTCTCATAGTTTAGGCCAGTTTTGTCTGGAGCAACAGGCTTATGGATTTCCTGACTGCCATATTTGCTGATGTCACTTTAATCAGTCTTACTATTAAAACAAAGATATTTTATTATCATTAGATTTTTAGTTGCAAGTGAAAGAAAACCCAACCTAAACTGGCTTGAATGAAAGGTAAAGTCTAGGAGTCTGAATGATTTAACATAAACTAGATTCACATTCATTAGCACTTGGTGTCTCCAAGGCTCTCTGGACAAGGCAGTAGCAATGGTTTTAGCCTCACATCCTCTCAACTCCCAAATCATCAAGCTGCTTTTCTGGTAATTCCTGTATGGGTTCTGAGATCTGAGATTGGATCTGGTTAAGTCATTTGATTATGATCAGTAATTACAGCCAAGGGAACGCTGTACTCTGATTGACTTAGGCCGGAGGCAGTTGCTCCATCCTGTGGTCAACAGTGAGGCCTACTGCGAGCACATGGACAGAGAAAGGGAGAGGGTAAAGGGGGGGGATCAGATGGGGTTTAGGGGGAGAAAGAAAACCAATGTCTCACGTAATAGCCTTTGAGAGCTCTGCATGGTTCTTTCTAAAATGTTTCTAGTACTAGAAACAAAACAGACAAGCAAAGGGAAAAAAGAGGGAGGCAAACCAAGAAACAGACTGAACTATAGAGAACAAACTGATGGTTAACAGAGGGGAGGTGGGTGGGGGGATGGGCTAAATAGGTGATGGGGATTAAGGAGGGCACTTGTGGTAAGCACCGGGTGTTGTATGGAAGTGCTGAATCACTATATTGTACACCTGAATTGTATGTTAACTAACTGGAATTTAAATAAAAACGTAAAATGTTTCCAGTACTCCTTGAGCTAAAAGAACTTAAAACCCTGAAGCCGTATTGCAAGATTGGAATAGTAGCAAATTCTTGTGTTTTTTTAATTTATAAACAAATTATGTATTTATTTAAAGATTTTATTTATTTGACAGAGAGAGCAAGCGCAAGCAGAGGGAGTGGCAGAGGGAGAGGGAGAAGCAGGCTCCCCAGCGAGCAGGGAGCTTGATGTGGGCTCTATCCCAGGACCCTGGGATCATGACCGAACCAAAGGCAGACACTTAACCGACTGAGCCACCCAGGTGGCTAAATTCTTTTGTTTTAAATTGGGATCATTTTTTAGAGTTCTAGAAAGCCATGAGTATTACTGAGTCTTGGAAATTTGTTTTAAAAGAATAATAAAGTGATCTGATTGAGTGGTTAAACTTTATTATTGCAGATGTGAAAAAAGTTTCTTTGAAGCTAGAGATCTTCGTCAGCACATGAACAAACATCTTGGTGTGAAGCCATTCCAGTGCCAATTTTGTGATAAGTGCTATAGTTGGAAGAAAGATTGGTATTCCCATGTGAAGTCTCATTCTGTCACTGAGCCTTACAGGTAGATAAATTTGAGCAGGATCTGAACTTAATTGAGATGTATATGTGCTTGGATTAATTCTTTTGGATGCTGGTGCTTTGGAAAAAATAATTTAGGGTTTTTTTGTACCCCCGTTATAGGTGTAATATATGTGGCAAAGAATTTTATGAGAAAGCATTGTTCAGAAGGCATGTAAAGAAAGCTACCCATGGAAAAAAAGGAAGAGCAAAACAGAACCTAGAACGGGTGTGTGAACAATGTGGAAGAAAATTCACTCAGCTAAGAGAGTATAGGAGACACATGAACAACCATGAAGGTAACGGTACCAAATATTATGCATATATTTAAGTAGAATAAAAAGTCCAATAGTGAGTCTCCCTTTACCAGCCCTCTTGCCTGTTAACCTCATCTTCCTTTGATAAGAGTTGAATCCCATAATAGGGAATATTTATTCAAGTGATTGAGGTGATCCTGAACCTGGGTACCTAGTTATTGTGTATGTAGATAGGTTCGTTTTTTAGTGAGCTTAATATTCTAGGTCAACGTTTTTATGCTGAACTGGACTATTGGAAGCTTCTGTTACCTTATCCTAAGATTGTAGGATTGCAGGGAAGGTTAAATGAAACTATGCATGGAAACTCAAAACTGTCTCTCAGTAACTTCTATCTCTTGGAACACCTGTAGAGAGATTATATTGCAGAATCTAGTTTATTCTAAGGTACACCGTTAGGTCCTGGATAAAAGATGGCCATAGTCCATATAGAAAGGGTAATGGGTTACTGTACTTCTTATTTTTTTTAATATTTTATTTAATTGTCAGAGAGAGAGAGCGCATGAGCAGGGAGAAGGAACAGAGGTAGAGGGAGAAGCAGGCTCCCCGCCGATCAGGGAGCCCGATGTGGGACTTGATCCCAGGACCCTGGGACCATGACCCAAGCTGAAGGCAGATACTCAACTGAATGAGCCACCCAGGCGTCCCTGGGTTACTCTCCTTAAAGAAAAGCATTATTTATCAGGGAACTTTAATATATTTTGTTACTTGTACCTTACACACACACCTCTCTCTCTCTGTCTCTCTCTCTTTTTTCATAGGAGTTAAGCCATTTGAATGCTTAACCTGTGGAGTAGCTTGGGCTGATGCCCGATCTCTAAAACGCCATGTCAGAACACATACTGGCGAGCGTCCCTATGTCTGCCCCGTATGTAGCGAAGCCTACATAGATGCTCGAACACTGCGTAAACATATGACTAAATTCCACAGAGATTATGTGCCTTGCAAAATTATGCTGGAAAAAGATACCCTTCAGTTTCATAACCAAGGAACTCAAGTGGAGCATGCGGTTAGTATCTTAACAGCAGACATGCAGGAACAAGAAAGCAGTGGTCCTCAGGAACTGGAGACGGTGGTGGTGACGGGAGAGACCATGGAAGCGCTTGAAGCTGTTGCGGCTACGGAAGAGTGTCCATCAGTCTCTACGCTCTCTGACCAGAGCATTATGCAAGTGGTTAATTACGTGTTGGCACAACAGCAAGGACAAAAGCTCTCGGAAGTGGCAGAAGCTATTCAGACTGTAGAGGTAGAGGTGGCACACATTTCAGAAGCAGAGTGACGGTAGCAGTGGGGGTCAGAGAAGTGACATCCCATGTGCACTGAACCCAGAACATCTGTTTACAGGACGACGTCACTATCTGCCTGGTGTTCGCAGGTCAAGGCTCTGGGCTGTTCGGTGATGTTTGAACATTTCTGAATGGTTTTCTGGCTCATGGGTTCTGTGGAAAAGTCCATATACGGCAAAGAAATTGAAAACAAACCCACTTGATGGCATTGGTTTATCATGGTGTACTTTTTATGAATTAATGTTTATAAAGAACTGGACTAAATTAAAAAATGTATAGTTTCACTTGCATTTTGACATTATTATATACTTTGAGTTTAAAAGGCTGCACTAGTCAGATCTTCTCTTTTATTCTAAAAATAGGTTCTGTGATTTCATTTGCCCTGTTTATAGGTTTAAAAAAATTCTAATATAAAGCATTTTAGTAGGATGTATACGTGTATTACATTTTTAAAATGCTTCAAATCTGTGATTCTTGACTTACTATTTATTTTAACCCCTTAAAAGTCAGGGATTTATTCTATTTTAAAGCACTTAATGAGTTACATGTTGTAATCAAGTTTGCACAGTATACTTATCTATATGGGGAACCCTTAAATAAATAGCTGATTTTTTAAATGCCATTAAAATGCATGAAATGCCTATTAAAGCCTTACTATATACTATCTCTTCAAGGCAAGTAAATTGACCATGAGCAAAGAACACTGTTGTTAAACACTGTTGATGGGAAATTTCTCCTTGATAACATGAGACAATGAATGAAAAAAAATCTCATTCTTTTGCTGAAGAATGAACAAATTAAAACTAGATTTGGTATGTTTGCAGCTTTTGTATCATGTTTAATTGTTCAATTTTGTTGAAAAACTGCAATTTAGAAATAGGATAGCAATATAGACCTCTACAGCGGTCCTGTGGATACCATATAATTGTCAAGTAACTTCAGAATATTGAAAAGTCTTCAATTCAGCCCTCAGTATACTATTTAAAGAAGTTAATTGATTATGGTCCACCAAATTGTTGAAAGTAAATTATTTTTAAAAGTTACCTAAGAATTATATTAATTTGTGTGTTTGATTTTTAAATTCCCACTTCTAGAAGCTATCCAGTTTTCTGATCTTCAAAATAACTGTGGGGAGATGCCACATTTCTCTCCTGTGGGGAAACTACCACTCAAACTATAATTGTTAAAATTAAACTTTTTAAATATTGGAAGCTAATATAAGGTATAAAATGAAGATATAAGCAAATCATATGTAAATCATTCCTAAAGCACAAGAAAAGAATGTGCCTTGATGTACATATATTATTAAGATACTTATTCCAGTTTACTTTAAAAAAATGGCTTAAAAGATAAAGATTAAATGTGATGCCATGCATGCATTGTCTGCATATGTAATATTTGCATTTGCAAATTTCCCATTGTTCCTATAGCTATGTGGCTGACTTTCAATTTTAAGTGAATTGACATACAGTCTATAACTTTATAATGGCTCCTTGTTTATCATACTTTTCAGTTAGTGAAAATGTATTTCAACCTGACTAAAATCTGGAATTGTGTCTTTTATGTTCCATCTTCACCATTGTTATTAGATTTAGTTAATTGTATAAGACCATTAATGTATGTCAAAAATTGTAAATAAAAGATGTTGAATCTTGTTTAAAAGCATAAGCTTTGGAGTTTAGCTTGTCACTTTTCTATTCATAAATCAGTTGCTGTATTTGATGTGTTATTAAAGTCAATCCATGTTTAAGGGGAAGGGGAATAGAATACATTAAAATACAATGAATCATGGAACACTACATCAAAAACTAATGATGTAATGTATGGTAATTAATATAATAAAAAAATAACCATTGGGTGAAAACGTAATAATATTAAAACATCTTACTCGTAAACATAATTTTGCCACAAAATTGGAAGTAGTGTGATTTACTGCCTACTTGGGTAATTTTTTTTTTGAATTTTGAATTTTTTTTTTTTTTTAAGATTTTATTTATTTATTTGACAGAGAGAGACAGTGAGAAAGGGAATACAAGCAGGGGGAGTGGGAGAGGGAGAAGCAGGCTTCCCGCCGAGCAGGGAGCCCCATGCAGGGCTCGATCCCAGAACCCTGGGACTGTGACCTGAGCCGAAGGCAGACGCTTAACGACTGAGCCACCCAGGCACCCCTACTTTGGGTAATTTAAATGTGTAGAGTTATAGGGCGCCTGGCTGGCTCAGTTGGTAGAGCATGTGACTCTTGGTCTTAAGGTCGTGAGTTCAAGCCCCATGTTCGGCATGACTTTTTAAAAAATGTGTAGAATTACATAATTCCATGTAGAAACAAGTGTTAAGATTCCAAAAATTCAGTTTTATATTGCCATGGGGGAAACTTCTATATTTAATTTACAATTCCTTTTTAGAATCACGCATTGCTTTGTTGTTGTCAGGTGACTCTCCTCTAATTGTGTGGGTACCCCTGGTTAAATGTACTTATTACTCTTCCTGCTAAGCAGTTTGAGTCATTGCTGTTAGTCATCGAAATGTATGAATTGATAGCAATGAATTAATTCTCTGACATGGGTTTTAATTTGTTTTATTAAAAGTGGCTGTATTCAGGGCGCCTGGGTGGCTCAGTTGGTTAAGCGACTGCCTTAGGCTCAGGTCATGATCCTGGAGTCCCGGGATCAAGTCCCGCATCGGGCTCCCTGCTCGGCGGGGAGTCTGCTTCTCCCTCTGCCCTCTTCCCTCTCCCCTCTCATGCTCTCTGTCTCTCATTCTCTCTCAAATAAATAAATAAATAAATCTTAAAAAAAAAAAAAGTGGCTGTATTCAGAATTTCACAGGGTTGCCTAAACTGCTGGACTTAGAGCTAATCCAAACCTTCAGTGTTTTGTCGTTTTTTTAATGCATTGGTGTAAACTGTGCATGCATGATGTTTCCTGCTCGGGATTGTTCTTGTCAAACATGTAATCTCTTGGACGTTCATAAACACTTTTACATCTAATGTTTGGAACATCCATAATAAAAGCCTTTGCTTCCTCTTGATCCTATATATTGATCAATTAGAGTTTGTAGAAGCTTATGGAGCGAAGATGTGTAAGTAACTTAACCAGTTTAAATATACCATGCTTATAGCCTATTGATGCTTTGAAGTTTAAATACTGCTGTTTATTGAATTTTTCCTCAAGAGTCTTACAGATATTGGAGTATGAACTCATCCCCAATAGGGCCTCATTTTGGGAAGCCTGTGCTACCCACGTAGGTTGAGGTTTTGTGTTTGCTTCTGCTAGGTTGCATCCAAGAGTGTTCATGGTTAGGTACTATTTTTATATTAATTCTCAGACTATGGTTTCCTGGAGCAGCAGCACCTGTAAATTTTGAACTTCAGACCAGTTTGAGAGCAAGCTCGCCATTCTAAATCTTCAAGGGAGGCTTTTGCCCACTGACAGCCCAGCCTGGGACAGACAAGTATCCTCATCTGCCTGGACTGGTGAACTGAGTTGATTTCTTGCCTGGTCTTTCACTGAAGATGGAGCTCTTCAGTGGTCCCAGTGTTTTGTTTCTTTTTTAAGTACGCTCCCTGCCCAGCTTGGGGCTTGAACTCAAGACCCTGAGATCAAGAGTCCGTGCTCTGAGCCGCGTGCTCTACTAACTGAGCCAGCCAGGCGCTCGGGTGGTCCCTGTGTTGTGTTTAATTTTTTTTTCCAATTTCTGTAAGCCTAAATCCTGATCTCATTGCCTTTTATCTGTCAAAAGCCCCCCCCCGCCCCCCGAAACTGCCAATCCCGTCTACCACAAGGTTACTACAAGTTCAACTCCGTTTCCTCTTATCTGGCGACTCTAGGACATTGCCTTTCTTCCAAACTTAGTATTGTGAATTTCAAAGGAGTTTGTTACATTTTATCAAGTGGAGAGTTTCATGTATTTTGAGTTTAACTCTGGAAACCAAATAGTGTTTCTTTAAATATTTCCCCTTCTGGTTACTTTTTGTTTCCAAACATTTTATTTCTACCCTCAATACCTCTTCACTCTCCCCATCTTTTTCTTTTTCTCTTTTTTAAGATTTTATTTATGTGTTTGACAGAGAGAGAGCGAGAGCAGGAACTCAGGGATAGTGGGAGAGGGAGAAGCAAGCTACCCGCCGAGCAGGGAGCCGGATGTGGGGCTCGATCCCAGGAGCCTGGGATCACGACCCAAGCCCAAGGCAGACACCTAACAACTGAGCCACCCAGGTACCCCTCCCCATCTTTTTCTTGCTTCCTGATAACCTTCTTGGAGTTCCTCAACCTGATCTGTAACTGTTCTTAATTATCTATTCTTCATTTTAAAAATTGTATTTCTTAGTATTTCCAATTGGTTCTTTATAGGTGCTTATTCCTGCTTCCCTTTTTGATTGATCCTTTCTTATCTTGCTGGTTGGATGTATTCTGTTCATTTTAAACTCTTACTGTGTCTGGTCTGTGCTCTGCAAAAAAATTACGTGTATATACCACAACTTCACCATTCTACCATTGATGGATATTTGGGGTTATTTTCAGTTTGGGGTTATCGTGAGGCATGTTGTAGGACCATTTTTATCCTCTTGGTATATACATGGGCATGCATTTTTGTTGGATACATAACTTAGAGTAGAATTTGAGATAATTGGATTTGTGAACCAAAATATTTCCCAAAGAGGTTATACCAATTTACTCTCAACAGTGGTGGTTGCTCTGCATGCTTACTTATTACTTACTTTAGCCATTCTGAGATGTATGTGCTTAGTATCCCATGTCGTTTTAATTTACACTTCCCAGATGACTAATAAAGCTGAACACCTTTTCATTTATTTGTTGACAATTCAGATATCCTTTTTGTGAGGCAATTGAATATCGTACCCATTTTTTGTCTTTTTTCTTTCTGAAAACAAGCTGTTTTACAATTGCCATCTCCTATTTTACAGCTTGTCTTTTCATTCTATTAATGGTATCTTTTGATGAATGTCTCTAATTTTAATGTAGTCCAGGTAATAAATTTGTGCCCTTTTACAATCTTTTCCTGCCCAAAGATCATTATATTTCCCTATTTTATCTTTTAAAAGCTTTATACCTTTGTCTTTTATATTTAGATCTATAATCTATCTGAAATAGAGGGAGACATCTTTTTTTTTTTTAAGATTTTATTTATTTGACAGAGAGTGAGCACAAGCAGGGGGAGAGGCAGAGGGAGAGAGAGAAACATACTCCCCGCTGAGAAGAGAGCCCAATGCGGACTTGATCCTAGGACCCTGGGATTATGACCTGAGCCGAAGGCAGACACTTAACCGACTGAGCTACTCAGGTGCCCCTCAAGCTTTTTTTATAGTATAGATTTTCAATTGGGCACATAATTTTCTGAATACACTGATTTTTTTTTTCCATTGTTCAGCAATGCCATTGTATAAATCAAGGGTACATGCTATGTAAATTTCTTTCTGGAATCTATTCTGCTTTTTTGCTTTTATTTCTGTACTCTCGCACCAATTCCTTGCAATACCAAATTGCAACAATACTAAATCCTTACAGTACTTAGGACCACACTGTCTTAATACTGTAGGTTTATAATAATTCTGATATCTGATAGAGTAAATCCTCCCACTTTGTTCTTATTTCAGATTGCTTGTATATTCTATAATGAACTTATCAATTTCTATAATAAAATCCTGTTGGGATTTTTGCTGGAATTGTATTGAACTTCTAGATCAATTTGGAGAGAATTGATATCTAATAACTGAATTTTCATTCCATGAACATACTTCTTCACTTATATAAGTCATCTTTAATATCTCTCAAAATGTTTTAGTTTGTGTAAACCTATTAATATATATTTTTATGCAATTGTGAATGTCATTTTTTATTTTTCAGTTTGTTGGTATGTAAAAATACAAAACACTTTTGTATATCAAGGGAACTTTCATCTGATAAAAGCTGTCTACAAAAAGCTACAGCAAAACATTCTAAAAGGTGAAATGTTTAAAATTTTCTGACATAGGAAATAAGACCTTTTATCCAACAACATTTTTAAATTCCCTTATTAATTTAGTTTTGACTGTCTCCATACCCAATTATGTTATTTGGAAGTAAGTTTTATTTCTCCTATTCCAATTCTAGCTTGCCTTACTGCTTTCTATAGGACCTCCAGTACAACGTTAAGTAGGTGTGATAGTTGGCATCCTTTCTTTTTTCCCATCTCAGAATAAAAATCTGAAATTAACATGGTGAGACAGATAGCTTAAGAATGGGGGCTTATTGCCAGAAAAACCAACCATGTGATTAGAGAGTTAGCATTTTAGCACCACCCTGCAATCTCCAGAGGGGAGAGGGGCTCCAGCTATTAATTCATTAATTAACCATGCCCATGTAATGTAGCCTCAACAAAACTTAGAGACTCAGAGAGTTCCTGGTTGCTGAACATATGGATGTGCTCGGTGGGTGTCACAGGGACAGAAGGTCCTGTGCTCCTGCCTTCCAGACCTTGCCCTATAGGTCTCTTCCACATGGCTTTTTCTGACTTGTATACTTTATAATAAAACTGTAATTTTAAGTAAAGCACTTTTAGTGAGTTCTGTGATTTGTTCTACTGAATTACCAGAGGAGGAGCTCCATAGAAGCCCTCAAATTTATAGTCAGCCAGGCAGAAGAGTGAGTGCCTTGGGATATCCAAGACTTGCAGTTGGCATCTGAAGTGGCTGCAGTAGTCTTGTGGGACTGAGCCCCTAACTTGGGGGGTCTGTGCTAACTCTGCGTAGTGTCATAAATAAATTGTATGTAAAAGTCTGTGGTATTTGAACCAAGACCACTCCTTCCCCAACCATCTCAGCTCAGTGAGGTGGAGACACCACCCCAGAGTGCTGCATCCAAGATCATAGGACTCCTTCTCCCACTAGCTCCCAGTTGGAGGGCTCTCTACCTGGGAGGATCAGGACATCAGTCTTCCTCATCCTGCCCCCAGCTTTCTGCTGCTGAGATAAGGCCCGGGTGCGTGTGGCTGAGAGGTGGTGGTTCCTCTCTTCCATCCAGCCACCGCTTGTGAAACAGAGGTTCTACCTTGGGCAAACTGAGCTGAAGATATTGAGGCTCTGACCACTATTGTCTCTGTTCATGAGGTGGTGGTTGCCTTTCTTAACAAACCTTCATAGATTTTTCTTGAATACATGTCTTTCATTTGCTGTTGGGCCCTTTCCAGAGACTTTAAATGGTTGCTTTTATTTTTGTTTTTACAATTTTCACCGTTTTCATTGGGAAGCAGGTCAGCACAACTCATCTGTCATACAAGAAGTTGATCCTCCTCCAAATCATCTTCAGTATTGCAGTATTCTCTTCAGGTGCACATGGGATATTCTTCAGAACAGATCACATGTTAGGCCACAAAACAAGACTCAATAAATTTAAGACTGAAATAGTATCAAGTAATTTTCTGACACAACTGTATGAAACTAGAAATTATAAGAAAACTAAAAAAAACAAACACATGGAGGCTAAACAATGTTACTAAACAACCAGTGGGACAACAAAGAAATCCAAGTGGACATCAAAAAGAAAAAATGGAGAAAAATGAAAATGGAAATAAAACATTCCAAAAATTTTTGAGATACAGCAAAAGCAGTTCTAACAGGGAAGTTTATAGCAATACAGACCTACCCTCAAGAAATAAGAAAAATCTCAAACAATCTAACCTTACAACGAAAGGAACTAGAAAAACAAAACCCAAAGTTAGTAGAAGGAAATAATAAAGATTAGAGAAGAAATAAATGTGGACACCTGGGTGGCCTGGGTGGCTCAGTCGGTTAAGCGATTGCCTTCGGCTCAGGCCACGATCCCAGGGTCCTGGGATCGAGTCCCACATCGGGCTCCCTGCTCAGTGGGAAGCCTGCTTCTCCCTCTGCCTGCCGCTCCCCCTGCTTGTGCTCTCTCTCTCTCTGACAAATAAATAAATAAAATCTTAAAAAAAAAAAAAAAAGGAGAAATAACTACTGACACCACAGGAATACAAAGGATTATGAGAGAATACTAAGAAAAATAATATGC